CATTGCACAATTTAATAAACGGAAGTTGTTCAAATAAAGTTCTGGCTTGTAATCATTGAGAGGGAATTCATAATGGGTCTTGTGCCCATAAGAACAACTTAGTCACTTTTAGCAGTTCTGTGTCCGTCAGAAATTTTCTCAGCTACCTTGAGGCTCTGGCCTGAACTAAGGATGCTGAGGGTTGCTCTGGCCCAGCAAAGATGCTACAGTCTCCTAGTTATTGAATTATGGGCTCTGTGTATAGGAGAGAAGACCTACCCATGTATAAAAGAAGGTTCCAGATTTTTTTTTTTTTTTTGAGACAGGGTTTTGGGTAGTCCCAAGTGGCTTTCAATTCAACAGGTAGTCAAGGATGATCTTAAATTTCTGGTCCTCTAACCACCACCTCCGAAGTGATGAGATTGCAAGCATGCCCCATCATTATCAATTTTATGTAGCGCTAGAGATCAAACCTAGGCCTTTAGTGTATGCTAGACAAGTATTCTATCAACTGAGCTACATCCCAGCCCAGGCTCTGGAGGTCCTCAGTGAAGAGTCTGGCTGGATTTAGCCATAGCCAACCTCTGAAACCCAGGAGAGAGCCTCTGTTTTGCATGTCACATCCATGCTGAGAGGAAAATCTTAAACTCCCTGAAGAGATCGATAGTTATCCTAGATGCTTGAAAATGTCATTTTTACCTTAGGAAATGTCATTTTTGCCTTAAGAAATTTCAAAATTTGCCTAGATGTAGTTAAACATAAACCATCAAAACAACCCAACTTTAAAAGGCATGAAGATTCAATTAATCTACCAGATTTTCAAAATGGAAAAAAAAATCCCATCAATAACTGGAAACTGTATGGACTGTTTGAATTTCAAATACAGCTCGGGGAGACCACAGACAAAAGCCCCATTGTCTGAAGGACCCTGCTGCTTCAAGGGGTCCTCACCCTCTTTTGATTCTGAAGTGAAGCAGAACCCTTTGTCACACAATGGCCCTCTCTGCCGCCCCCACCTCACCATGTCCAGCCTCATGGCTATGTGGGATTTTTTTGAGGAAGACTTCCAAGACTAATATGGAAACTGAGTGACAGAACTCCATCACTTCATGTCCAGCCTCCACAAAGCTGAGGAGGGTTCAACTATTCATGGGGCACCCCTTGGTTTCTTTATAAGGTATCTATGAGGAGGGCAGACAAGAGGGTGAGGAGAGAGGCTGGAAATTTCTTTTCTGAAGCAACTCAATGGGACCTTTACAGGGAAGGGTGGTGGCTTCTCCCTCAGAATGCCTGGCCCTCTTCCCAGTGTGAAACATTCCCCAAATATGTGGCTTTGTGAGCCTCGAAGCTGCCTGAGCAGACAATCCCCTGCTGCCAGAGAGCGGGCATTCACGGGATATTGGGTGTGGGGGCCTGACAGGTCTCTCAGTCAGGGCCCTGGCCTTGCCAAGTGCTGAGGAGGCCTGACCTCTGCTTAAGTCTTGAGGTTGAATCTGGACAACATTCCAGCTGAGACAAGAGCTGGAAGCTTCTCTGGCTGCCTTTATATCCCTTTCTGCATTCGGATCAACCCTCTCAAGAGGCATCTTGCTGCACATGCGTTGTCAGTGTCTTTCCCGAGTACTTGCAAAGATGGGGAGACAATCATTAGCCGAATTCCTGGGCAGACTGCTTTGAAAATGACTAAGGAAGAGTGGAGGTTACCAGCAGCTGTTACTTGGCATTTGTTTTGTCTGCAACTGAGGAAGCCAAGGAGGAAGAGAATGTCTGGAGGATGGTAAGAAGCCCCCGGCAGAGAGCGGCTGGAGACCTCTCTGGAGAGACTGGACTGTGTGGGCAGGAGTGTGACTGTGTTGCCTGTTGTCGCTTTGGAAGGGTGCATGCAATCAGCAGCACTGTGGGCAGCAGAGAAGCTCCCTTAGGGACTCTTGGGAAGGGGGTTGCTTCTCCAGACCTTACTTTGGTTTGTTGCTGTGACTTCCTACAGAGCACAGTTAATGACAGTGGTCACACCCGGTCTCACACTATCTGGTGCTCCGGGTAGTCACATCAAAGATACGATGAAGAAATAGCCTTTCAGGTCTTGGTTTTAAGTGTCAGCTTCATGTTGTCCTAAGTTCATGTCTTCAAAGATCCTCAAGTCTTTGTTCCAAGGATGGCACAGGGGGAAGGGCTTAGAGACCCTTGATCAAGGATGTATTTGTGGGATTTTTCACTTTATTGTCAGCTTATTTGCATTGTCTTTGCTTTAGCTTTAAGTGTGCATGGCTGCCAAAAGGGAAAACAGCCATAAAGGCAAAAGGCAATTTTTAAATTAATTACAAATTATAGCATTCGTACGAAAGGAACTTTGTTTTCCATGGTTGGGCATCTTTTTCATGAGCCTCGGGTCTTTGCCTGCTCAAGCAGTAAGAGCTGCTCTTGTTTGGAGTTTCTTTGTCACCAGTCTTTTTGGAGTAGGACATTGACGTGATTCTACTTAATTTTACTCTGCTGTGTCTAGGTGCTCAGCCCCACCTGACCACCTGGTATTCTCTGCGGACTTCCTGCTTTTTTGAGCACATCCCTGCTTTTATTCTGTTGGTCTTTCTCTGAGTGCTTCCTCATCGTTTGGTGTCCGTTTTGCCAAATCCAAGTCATGGCATCATAGGAAGTGGTAATCCAGAAGGAACCTAGAGCCAGGCAACCTGGGCCAGACCCTGGCTTGACCATTTGCTTGTTGTGGAGTCTTGAACTACTTGTCTTCTGTCAACTCTTTGTCTTCATCAGTAGTGGGCGATGGTCCTAGTGCCCTGTGTGAGAGCTCTTGAGGGGATTAAGTAAAATTGTATATGTCTCAGAATAGTGCTTGGGACCATTATGGTTTAGTTGGGCTGCTCCTATGCCTCATTAGAGTTTATTGGTAAATATTACTGTTAGGCAAAGCAAGACTGATCAATATTGGTGACATGGTAAGAATGTGCAGATGTTTCTGTTTTCTCTGAGCCTTAGTGATACAAAGCGGAAACTCCAGTCAAGCTGTGCATGGAACTGTCTTCTTCTACTGCTTCACTGAGATAGTGTCCATACCATGCCACTCTCCCACTCTGCCACATTGATTCTTCATCTTGTGATAGAATATGTATAGAGAAAAATTTGCCATTTTAACTATTTTTTTTTAGATGTACAACTCAGGAGTGACCATTATAACACCCATAAGGTTGTGTAAACCATCACTTCCATTTCAAAATGTTTTCATTACTGCAAGCATGAACTAGTGCCCATTAAGAAATAGCTCCCCAATTTCCCCTCCTTAAACCTCTGGTGACTACTAATCTCCCCTTGGAGTTTGAATTTACCTATTCTGGATATTTCTTTTTTCTTTTTCTTTGTTTTTTTTTTTTTTTTTAATTTTGGTTTTTCAAGACAGGATTTCTCTGTGTAACAGTCTTTGCTGTCCTGGAACTCACTTTGTAGACCAGGCTGGCCTCAGACTCACTGAGATCTGCCTGTCTCAGACTCTCAAGTACTGGAATTACAGGCATGCCATCACTGCCGGGCTATTCTGGATATTTCATTTTATTTGCCCATGTGTCCAGCTCTTTGCATTTAGTGTGTGTGACCCAGCTTCATCCTTGTAACATTATCAGAGCTTCATTTTTTTTTTTCTATGACTGACTAGTATTTCACTGGGAGTAGACCATATTTTATCCAGTCACCCATAGACAGACTGGGTTGTTTTTACCTTTGGGCTATTAAAATAAAGCTGTAATTAACATTAGCATGAAAGTGTTTGTTTAGTCAGGCAGCAGCGACACTCGCCTTTAATCCCAGCAGTAGGGAGGCAGAGGCAGGATCTCTGTGAGTTCCAGGCCCGCCTGGTCTACAGAGCCAGTTCCAGGACAGCTAGGGCTGCTGCATAGAGAAACCCTGTCTTGAAAAACTAAAAGAAGTATTTGTTCAAGTTTCTGCTTTCAAACTGCAACAAACAGAATGGTTGGGTCATATGCGATTCTATTTTAGCTTTTTGAAGGACCCTAGATCTATTTTCCATTTCTCTTCTATGTTTTTCTCTGTTGGTATCTCCCTCAGATTCTCTTCTGTTTCCTCCTATCTTCCAAACACCATTGTTCTTCCAAACAGCAGGCATGTTCTCCTCCCAACCACATGGCTTCCTCCCACATTTCAGAGGGACCGCCCTGCTCTGTCCCTTGTTTGCTGGTAGCGCATCAGTGACTCTGCTCACATTCACTTAATATCTTTCTTTCCTTGTCGAGGCAGGGTAGTATTTGTAGACTAGGTCTCTGCTGACTTAAGGTAGAGGCTGATCAGCCTCGGGATGACCCTATAAGGAGTAGGGTACTGAAGGCCCTGCTTGTGCTTCCCTAAACAGGCCCCCTCATCCCAAACCACACCTTGCTCCTTTTGTTCTCCATCCATTTTGTCTTGGCGGGCAGTTCGGCCACCCTGTCCTGTGGGAGGGTTGTTCTCCGCTTCTCATTTGCCCACAGTTTCTTCACTTTTCTACAAGCAAGCGAATTAATTAGTGAATACCCCAACAGACCATGAGCCTGCCTCAGACAGCCATTCTGGCTGCTGGGTTAATTGTTAGCTGGGTTTCTGGCCGTCATTCATTGCACAATGAGGCTCCTAATTAATCTCCTAGCAGTTCTCACCAGAAGAAAGGCCGTTAGGGAGAAACATCCCCAATTACCATGAGAAAGGAAATGTCAAGAGCCCCGTTGAGTTTTGCTGGCATCCCTCCCTGGTCTCAGATGAAAACCCCGCCATTGGGTCAGGAGGCTGCCTCGCCATTGACCATGAAAGACCCAGTGTGAGAGCCTGGGGGCCCTGGGCTACACCAAGCAGCTCTGAGTTCAGCCTGCTGTGTGTACACCATCCTGCTCAGTAGCACCCACTGTGTTTCCCAGTTTCCAGGGCCACATCGGAGGTGGAAATTCCTCTGCTGTCCCAGAAGCAGGCAAGCAGCTTTCATCTGGAAAAGCTAAAGGTCTCTTCTTTGTGTGTGTTTGTGCCTTCAGGACAAAAGATCCTTCATCACCGAAGTGACGTCTTGGAAACAGTAGTCCTAATCAACCCTTCGGATGAAGCAGTCAGCACTGAGGTGAGTATTCAGTGCTGTGAGGTCTTCCTCAGAGCCTCACAGAATAGAGGCTCGGCTGATCGGTGGGGCTCGGTAGTTGGCAGCTGGAGAAGGATGCAAGCAGGAGAAGTTCCAGGTTCCAGTCTTCCTTGATACAGCGGGTCTGCATCTCGTATCATCGCAGGAAGCCTCTTCTGTTCAGGACACAGTGGACAGTGCCAGCTGGAAGCGTATTTGTGAAGGGGTGTGGAATTGGGGGCACACATCGGGTATGTTGTTGCCAGGATGGGGAATAGGAATGTAGCAGAGGAAATAGACTGTAAGCCCTCAGGCTGGCACATACAGGGATGGAACTCAGAGAAGGCTAGCATCCTAGTAGCATCCCTGTTCAGAGTTATCCAGGCCAGCCTTCAGCCATGGTTGGAAGGCAGGCTAGCATAAGCATCAGAAACATGGTCTCTAGCCCAGGCCAGATCGCCTGGCTTCATCATCCAAGGTCTGCCATTTACAAGCTGGTGGTCTCCATCAAGTTATCTTGCAGCTTCGTTTCACACCTCTGTGTAAAGATGATCACAACAGTCCCCCATTTAATGTCCCTACTTGTTGTGCTTTGAAGTGCTCAGTGTTCAGAACAGAGTGGCACAAGGTGGCTAAAGTGTACATGGTAGCCACTGCAACTGTATCATTAGCATGACATGAAATTATTGCTAGAGGGAGTAACTGGGAATTTTAGGACCCATCTTGACATAAGAATTCCATCCCTCTGGCCAAGCATTGACAGAGCCCCCTTCCCACCTCCTTAGAGATGGAGATGCTTCTTGGACATTAAAGTAGCCAGAGGCCCTGGCAGCATCATTGCTGTGGTATCTTCTGTCCATGCCTTTGCAACTCTGACTATATGGTTTTTCAAATTGGAATAGGATTTATAAACCACAGAATCCATCCACTGAAAGTAGATAATTTTGTGATTTTTCTTTAAAGAATGTTTACAAAATTGAACAGATATGATCACCATCTAACTTCAAAACATGCCTGTCACTCCCTAAAACGTCTTAAACCTACTAGCAGTCACTCCACTACCCCTTGGCTTCTGGGAACCCCTATTTTTTCTCTCCAGAATTTTCTATTTCAGACATTTCATGTACATGGCATCATACAAACATGTGGCCTGATTTTGGTTGTTGTTCAGCTTAACTTACTTAGCTTAACTGCTTTAAGATTCGATTGTGTTGTAGCACATGTCAATTCTGCACTCCTTTTAATGGTTGTATAGTATCCTTTTGCATATATATACCACATATGCATGTTTATTTCTTAGTTGCTTTCACTTTGGGGCTGTAATAATCGGGCCTGTGTTGACCTACTTCTGCCTGCAAAATCTCTGACAATCCCTTAGGGCGTGGAGTTGTGAAAAGCATTGGGATGACAATTTCTGTCACACACACACACACACACACACACACACACACACACACACACACACAAAGAGGTGGAGGTGGAGAATTAGTATATACCCAGGTAGACTGCCTAGATTAGCTGTGAAAAAAAGGAAAAATAAAATAAAAGCTTTTTTTTGTTTGTTTTAAATCCAGCTAGCCTGTGGATCAGATGAGTCTGAAACAACTATTTAGGCATTCGTGTTTTTCCAGGCGTGGCCTGTGGGGTTCTTGAGCAGGAGTCATGGCCTGTTTAGTTTTGAATTCTCCCCAGTGCAGAACACTATGTGGGGCACATAGTTTGCGCTAAATATTCACAAACTGGGTTGAGAACATTGGTGCTGGGGGTGGTGTTCCTCTGGAGGACAGCTGGCTTCCCTGTAACTGAAAGTTCACTGAGAGCTCTGTAGCACAGACTATTTTCAATTCAGTTTCCCAGCTTGCCATTCAGGGGTCGCCTTTTCTTTGTGTTCAGTGTCAAGCCCCTTGCCGCTAGCTCTGAAGTAGGCATTTAGCATGGTGTGCTTGCTCTGTGGCTTGGAAGGCAGGAATCCTGGGTAGGAATGGGTAGTTCTGAGACCCTGCTTGGAAACACCTCTTTTCTGAGGGTAGCTGGGGGACCTGAACTGACATATCCACAGGTCTCCCCTGGCCTCATAGGCTGCAGGCTGCTAGCAGACACTTTCCAACAGCTGTGGAACAAATGCTTGCCAGCTGTGAAGACTGCTTTGGAAAGAGGAGGGAACTCAGGGGAGAAAGTTGATGCAAAGCTCTAAAATGGTATTCACGGGCGCACTAATAACCACAATTGATTTTATGAATAACTCCTACAGCCAAGGCTCTGTCCAACATCCCTGCCCCCACTCTCTGCTGAAGAAATTAGACTCTTAGAATGAGTGTGTTTGATTGGTAATAAGCTTCAGGCATCAGGACCTGGTGTTGGGGAGCGGGGACTGCCTCTCACTCTCTACATCCTCATTTATACTCTGCACCCCTACTGTGTTTCAGGTGCGCTTGATGATCACTGACGCAGCCCGCCATAAACTGCTGGTGCTTACAGGACAGTGCTTTGAGAACACTGGAGAGCTCATTCTCCAGTCAGGCTCTTTCTCCTTCCAGAACTTCATAGAGATTTTCACGGATCAAGAGGTAGGTTCCGTACAGCGTGTCCTGATGTGTGGGGCAAGGCAGGTGGGGCGGACCCCTTTGGAATAAACAAAACTGTGAGGCAAAATGATTTGGGCCTGGGCTAGACCACAGTTCCAGTCGGAGGATAGTTGGAACCACGGCTGGTGTGATGGAGACACAGGTGGGCAGTGGGACCATTGTTGGTGTGCTGGAGACACAGGTGGGCGGTGGGGGCATTGGAATGATCAGCATTTCCAGATGGCAGAAGTGCTGGAGACAGTAGTAGAAAGGACAACGCTCCAGAAGAAACCCAGCTTCCCTACATTCCAAGAGACTTCTCCATAGATCTATTGGCTTCAGCAGGACCTCCCTGCTAGGACTTGTGTCACTTTTCCTGGCCTGATTATTTCCAATTTCTCTTACCTCTAATGACTGTACCCTTTAGAGTGAAGCACTGTGAAAAGCTTGGGGTGGGGTGGGGTGAAGTGGGGATGGGGTGGGAGTGGGCTGAGGGACGTGCTGGTAGGAGTTACCAGAGCCATTTAGCCCTGTCTCTCTGAGATGGGAGCCTTGGTGTCTCAGGCATGCTGGGAAGGGCTTTTTGTCTTGTCTTCCTGCATTCAAGCTTCCTCAGCACCTCACTTCACAGAGAAGTCTCTGTGTGCTTGTTCTCTCAGCAAACTGCCCAGCTTCATTCCACCTGAAGGCCTCAGTAAAACCCTGGCGAGATGACACAACAGCTTCCTCTCTCCCCGAATGGGAGGGGGTAGGCAGCACAGGACTGTGAAAGGGAACATTTTTACATAGTGTGGAGCTCTCTCAGAGGGTGTGAGGTCATCTGTACCTGGAGGCACATAGCACCAGCTCAGCAGAGTGAGAAACAGACCCCTGTCTGGCAAGCGGCTCCTGGCTCAGGGGCCTCCGGCTCATTCACTGCTGGCCTGTCTTCTCACCTTAAGGAGGAAGCTCTGCCTGTGACCTTCTCCACAGCTGTGTTCTCTCTTCCTCCGGGGCTGAGCCGAACACCCTGATGTATCACACTGGCATTGCTCAATTGCCCTGAAATGCCGAGACAAAGACAAAGAGCTGTGACTTCCCCTGTTTAGACTGCCCTGAAATTGGTGAATAGTCACTGCAATGCCAGCTCTTTTTCAAGATGATGTTCTCAGATCATGTGCTACGAAGGGCACTCGGGCCTTTGTCTGGCATTTCAGCTGTCAGCATCTTGTCTCAGGGAGGAGCAGGCTGTAGAAGGGTGGAAGTGGCCCCTGTGTCATGTTGGGCTCTGTTGGTAAGCTCAGCTCAGCCTTGAGGCCTGGGCTTATTTACATGCACATGGGCGCCTTCCTGCATTCCTGTTCAGTTCTGCGGTACTTTCCTAGTGTTCGCTTTCTGCCCACATCATGGGTTTGGGTTTTTGCCGTGAAAACTAAACAAGGAAAATGTGTAAGGAAAAGCATTTTATCATTGCCAAGATTTTACATAAGGAGGCATCATGCCACTGATCTGGGCCCCTTTAACATAAGGAATAGTTTTATAAAGTTGCTACTTAAATCACTTCTAAAAGTTGTGGAAATGGAGGTTTTGTACAATGGGCCGTTCGTGTGCCCAATTTAACCATTAATTCCAAAGAAAAGGAAAACCTTATCTAAAGAATTCAAGTTCTAGGGAAGGGGCAACTTCTCCAGGGTTTGTAGTAATAAAGGTAGATGCTAACCCTGCTACACCTGGGCAGCCATCACTGAGGTCACAGGGGGTCATGTTCTCCTCTCCTACCCCACCTTTTCTGGAGGAAGTCATGCTCAGTGCACACAAGAGGATCACCAGAGTCTTCTTTAATAGATTAGATCATTAGTATTAGGGTGGGGGAAGGGTGGAATTCATGCTTGCCCTCCTGCTAAACCTATGGAACTCAGCCTGTGTTTCTTTTACCTAGACATTGAAGAAGGGATGTCACAGCTAAAGTGGATTAAAAATTACTAGACTAGGGACTGGAGAGATGGCAGTGGTTAAGAGCAATGACTGTTCTTCCAGAGGACCCAGGTTCAATTCCGAGCACCCACATGGCGGCTCACAGCTTTCTGTGACTCAGGTGTCAGGGGACCCAACACTTTCTTCTCACCTCCTAGGGTACTACATGCCTGTACTACACAGACAGACAGGCATGCAGGAGAATTAATAAAAAAAAAATTGTAAAACTTACTAAACTAGACCAATGAATATTCATGTTTGGAGCTATGATTACTTACTGTTGCCTTGGAAGAAGGCTTGCAGAATGTCTTAGTGAGGTCATTTGTTGTCCAGTCTCGCTGCATTTCTTCAATCCTTGAAACATACTAGTCAACTAAAAAAGAAATGTAACATTAGAAAAGCAAACATTTCTTGGAACAGTTTTCAACCTTTCCATAGGAAAGATTTTCTTGTTTGTTTCACTATATCTTCAAGGAGGGACCTTGACCCTGTATCCACCTACACTTTCCACTCATCCCCTAGATTAACCATGGTTGGTTTTGCTCTGTTGTCCATAAGTTGCAAACAGTCCTGTGTATTCTCTGTCTAAGTAGGTATGGGGGGAATTCAAGCTTTCAGCACTGGTTATTCTTTGACACACCTTGGAGGTATCAGACAGGTAGATATTTGAGCCCAGAGCCTAAGGATCATTGACTTGTCTAGAGATACTCATTTGTAATCCATTTGTGTGATATGGGCATTTAGAGCCCAGAAGACAGATGTTGTCTCTAGAGAGAGAAGAATGAAGAACTCTAGAGGCTAAAATCAAAGAGAAGGATCCAGCAAGAGGGACTTGTCTCAGGAGTGTTGTTTAATCGGGTTTCTTTAAAATGTCACAGTTTGGGTAGGGGATGTAGCTCAATGGTAGAGCGCACTTGCCTGGCATTCTCAAGACCTTGGGTTTGACAACCAGTGTCAATGCAAAGAGAGAGGGGGATGGAGAGGGAGAAGAAGAGAAAGAGAGGGAGGGAGGAAGAAAGAGAGAACATAAAAACATACACACATATATACAATTTGTTGGGTATCCTGACCTAACCTAGACACCATATTCCAGAAGTCATGTGGCCAGACTGTAATTCGTAGTTTCCAGTCAAGTTAATAAATAAGTCTAAAAGCTTCCAACTTTCTCCAATTGACAATAATTAAATGTCAATAGAGAAGAGATACAGGCCTTGAGGCATTCTGCAACTTAACATAATCTGGAGATTCCCACTAAGAAAAGAAAACCCATTATTAATACACTTTTAAAATACAGTACTTCAATAGAGGACCAGGCTAGTGAGGGGCCTTGAAGTTTAAGCTTCTTTGGCTTCATGTAAATCCATTTGATTGTCAGCTAAAATCCCCGAGGTTTTCCAGGGATATTGTCGTTAAGCCACATCTTCCAATCCTTTACTCTGATGCTTGTTGAACCTTACATTTATCTCTTTAGAATGCCATGCTGTTCATAGTTGCCTTGGCATTATATCAAGTCCAAAGCCTTCTTAAATGCCTTAATTCTACCATCCCATATTCTGTTATGTCTCTCATTTTGAAGCCATGCACAGATTTGACAAACATCCTGCTCCATTTTCATCCTAGTCAGTACTCAACAGGACAGAAGTGAAGTTTGACACAGCCTATCACAGACCTCCTCCAGGCCGACACTAAGGAGCACTACTTATGGAGCTGCCTATAAACCCACCTAATTCTGTTATCACATTGTCCCAAGACCCTGTTAAATGTGTGGCCAAAGCCCAGAAATACACTGTTTACAGTAGTTTCTCTTCAGCTAAGCAAGCTACTTAATCAAAAAAGGAAATACAGCTAGAAATCTGTGGCTTACAATTAAAATCTTGTTTTGTTAATATCACTGGTAAAGCCATGTATTCCTTTATCTTCCTTCCTCTTTAAGTGTGCCTGAATTTATCAGGAAAGGTAATTAACACAAGGTATGATTTTACACCAAAGCAGTGTTTCTCCTACTCATGTCTGCCATCCATTTTTGTGAGAAGCATGGGAACTGTCTCTGTGTTTGATAAGCATCAACAGGCACTTGTCACAGCTGCAGGAAGACATCATGTAGTGAATTGACCAAATTAAGTGCAGTGTGCAACCTAGTGTACTGAGTCTGCTTATACACTGAGGAAACAAAGACAACTAAAATACAAAAAGAGAGAAAACGTTTTTGCTAACTAGAAATTTTCATTGTATAAGGGTGTGCCATATGGTTGCTGTTACTGTTAACATGACTTCTGGTTCATTTCGAAGTAGTCCTGATTTCAAAGAACTAGTCATCATTCCCTTCATACTGCCAATGTTCTCATATATTTCTTACTGATCCCACCATTTCACTGAATGAGTGTGGACTGAGCATCAACACGGACTGGGTATCTTCAGTCATCTGTTGTCCTTGAATTCCATCCTCATCATGATACTTGTCAAAGGCCTGGAGCTGGGCTATGGGAAAAATCAGGGGCTTTAGTTCTGTTGGGTATCCCCAAGGATGCTGTGATACCCTCCTATCTCCTGCCCTATTCCATCTGTCTTTCCAACTCTTGTCTTTACGTTCTTGTCTCATCGGGTACAGTGTGCTGATGTTTTTCCAGAATGATTAGACTTTCACTCTCTGGCTTGCTTTCCTAATTTCATTAAATCGTCATTTTCTATCCAGCAATGGCTGTTGGCTGTCTTCCATGATCTCTGACTTCCTCAGAATTCTTGGCAACCTTATCTGTTTTTGAGTCATTTTCTGCTTTTCATAGGAACTTTCTGGGGACAGGTGAAGAGCTAGAAAGTAGGATAATATCCCTTAAGTCTTTTTACTTTCTCCTTGAATTAGGTGACTCTATGTTTCATACTAAAAAGTTACAAATTAGGGGCTGGAGAGATGGCCTAGCAATTAAGAGAACTGGCTGTTCTTCCAGAGGACTCAGGTTCTGTTCCAAACACCCACATGGTAGTTGGTACCCTTTTCTGCCCTTCATAAGTACCAGGCATGCATGCGGTGCCCATACATATGTGGAGGCCAAACACTCATACATATAAAACAAAATAAATAAATCTAAATAAAACATTAAAATCATTGACATAACTTAATAAGTGAGTAACCTCAGACACACACAGCTAGACTATACCTTCAGCTCGCTTCAGCTCAGCTAGACTGGAACTCAAAGATTAAAATGAACTCAACTTATTTTTAAATTTCCACTGTGAAAGTCTTAGCAGCTTGGATTATCTTTGATTTGTTCCCTAATATGTAGATATGAATAGTTCTCATGTACTCTGTGTGAGAGTTGGGAATGAGAGAATCCTTATTGTGCTGAAATTATGGTGATGAGGGTCTACGCCAATTATTGGACAAGAAATCATATTTTAAGATAAATAAAATGGAGTAAGAAAAAATTTTAAAGGACCAATGAGATGGCTGTTGTGGGGAAAGGCGCTACCATGCCTGCTAACTTGGGTCTGATCCCCCCTCACGTCTTCCCAGGAGCCACATGTTATAAAGAGAAAACGAACTCCAGCAAGTTACCCTCTGACCTCCACACACATACACCATGCCACATACATACCTAATGAATGAATGAATGAATGAATGAATGAATGAATGAATGCAATAAAAATGAAACCTTATTCATGTTTGCCTTGGCCCACAAATAATGTGAAAAAAGATTCCCCCAAGGATAACTGACATTTATAAGGAATGATTTGATCAGTGGTGCCCTTTACCCTCATGGATATTTGCCACTTTCTGTGTTAGTTTGCTTAGTTTCCAAAACAGGAGTTGACTCTTAACTGTTTTATGCAACGGAATTAAGTTAAGTCAGAGGAAAATAGCAAAGCATTGTTATTCTGTATTTTGTGACATCAACTGTTATGCTCAGGATTGATAGTCTAACAAAACAAAGATGACTGTTCTCCTGAAAACTAATATGGGAAAGTTTGGCTTCTATACATTGCTTCTGCATACATACCCTCACACGCATAGCTTAGGAGTGATAGTATTCTGGAATTCATTGAGACAAGAAACCAAGGGCAAGGATTCAGAGCCCATGGCTCAAGAATGACCCTTGGTTTTGGCCCCAAATCATTTGTATCTGGATATAGACCCTTTGTCACTGGAACCTCTGTACTGATGTGTGAGATTTGCTGAAACTGAAGTTTGGAGCTAATGGCATTATTTGCATTTCCTGAGCCAAAACCAAGAAATACATGACCTAGATATTGAAGAAAACTGTTTCCAAACCATACTTGTTTTGGTCTGGATCCAGTTTTCCATATTCCCTTCCTTGGGAAGTAATGCATGATGTGTTGAAAAATGTTTAAGCCAAATGAGATCTTAGTCACTGATAGCCAGCTTGCTCCAAATTCATTGAGATCATGGAGAGGACTGAGAGTCTCAACTTGGAATTATTTATTTTGATTTTTTTTCACTTTGGACTTAAACTTAAATGGAGGAATAAATGTGGCCACTTGTTTGTATAACAAAGCCAGACCACTTTGTTATCATGGCTTCAATAGGAGCATTTGTATTTGCAGAAGATCTGCTGGGCCAGGCACTTACAGAATGTGGGTGCCAGAACCTAGTAATTTGTTGTATTAGTGGGCAATCAACAACTCCTTGTCTCCTAGAGCAAAAAATAAAATAAACCTACCAACCTTTTTCTTTTGTGCCTATTAAATTCTGAAAGGAGACATCAAGAAATACACTATTATCTGAAGTCCTAAAATGCATCATTCATGCCTCTTTTGTCAAGTCCAGTGGGTTACAACCAATGTTTTACTTTTTGTTAGTTCTTTGAGAATTTTGTACAATATATTTTGATCATATTCACTTCCTCATAACACCTCCCAGATCTGACCCTTCCCCCTACCATTATGTCCTGTTTCATTTTTTTAAAACCCACTTTCTCCAATTTATGCTGCCCATATATTCTTGGATGTGTGGCCTGTCACACCCTTTAAAAAAACTGGCAACCCCCTTTCTAGCAGCTATCGTAGCAATAGCTCCTTAGCTGGCAGTGGTACTTCACACCTAACCTCCTCTTCATGCTGGCATTTTGTCTAGTTTAGGCTAAAATAAAGGTTTCTAACCCATGGTGAAATGATGGATGCAGCTTTCTCTTGTGATAGCCTAATATTTGTTAGTGAGAATCTTTGCATGGCTAACACCCACCCAGAGGCAGTATCCAGATTACTTTATAACTGCTGCAATACAAGTGTCAATCACCCAGATGGTCCTGGGCTTTGGAACCTGAGTTCTGGGGCAAAGACACACATGGGGAGAGGATTTGAGAGCAAAGGTCAGGAGGTGGCAAAGGGTACATGCAGGGACTGAGAACAGAGGCTGTCCACCTTCTAAAATAAAAGTTTATCAATATTTTAATCAGAACTGTAGCCAAACTTTTGCTATTAGCCTAATGTAAAGTCAGTGATCCTAAAGTAACTAATAGATGGGAGTGACGGGTGATTGATGACGTCACTTAACCCTTTTCTTCCTGTCTTTTTTACAAACCCAGATTGGGGAGCTCCTGAGCACCACCCACCCTGCCAACAAAGCCAGCCTCACCCTCTTCTGCCCGGAGGAGGGAGACTGGAAGAACTCCAACCTTGACAGACACAATCTCCAAGACTTCATCAACATTAAGCTCAACTCAGCTTCTATCTTGCCAGAAATGGAGGGACTTTCTGAGTTTACGGAGTATCTCTCGGAGTCCGTGGAAGTCCCTTCTCCCTTTGATATCCTGGAACCGCCGACCTCAGGCGGATTTCTCAAGCTTTCCAAGCCCTGCTGTTACATTTTCCCAGGGGGCCGGGGTGATTCTGCCCTGTTTGCAGTGAATGGATTCAATATGCTCATCAATGGAGGATCGGAAAGAAAATCTTGCTTCTGGAAGCTCATTCGGCACTTGGACCGTGTGGACTCCATCCTGCTCACCCACATTGGGGATGACAATTTGCCTGGCATAAATAGCATGCTGCAGCGGAAGATTGCAGAGCTGGAAGAGGAAAGGTCCCAGGGCTCCACCAGCAACAGTGACTGGATGAAAAACCTCATCTCCCCTGACTTGGGGGTTGTGTTTCTCAATGTACCTGAAAATCTGAAAAACCCAGAGCCCAACATCAAGATGAAGAGGAGCATAGAAGAAGCATGCTTCACCCTCCAATATCTGAACAAACTGTCCATGAAACCAGAGCCTCTATTTAGAAGCGTAGGCAATACCATTGAGCCTGTCATCCTATTCCAAAAAATGGGAGTGGGCAAACTTGAGATGTACGTGCTTAACCCAGTCAAGAGCAGCAAAGAAATGCAATATTTTATGCAACAGTGGACTGGCACCAACAAAGACAAGGCTGAACTAATCCTGCCCAATGGTCAAGAAGTAGATATCCCAATTTCCTACTTAACTTCAGTCTCATCTTTGATTGTATGGCATCCAGCCAACCCGGCTGAGAAAATCATCCGAGTTCTGTTTCCCGGAAACAGCACCCAGTACAACATCCTGGAAGGACTGGAAAAACTCAAGCACCTAGACTTCCTAAAGCAGCCATTGGCCACCCAAAAAGATCTCACTGGCCAGGTGCCCACCCCCACAGTGAAACAAGTCAAATTGAAACAGAGGGCTGACAGCCGAGAAAGCCTGAAGCCAGCTACAAAACCACTTCCCAGTAAATCAGTGAGGAAGGAGTCCAAAGAAGAAGCCCCTGAAGTCACAAAACCTAGCCAAGTGGAAAAAACACCCAAAGTTGAAAGCAAAGAGAAAGTAACAGTGAAAAAAGACAAGCCAATAAAGACAGAAACCAAACCTTCAGTGACAGAAAAGGAGGTACCCAGCAAAGAGGAGCAGTCCCCTGTGAAAGCCGAGGTGGCTGAGAAGCAAGCCACTGAGAGCAAACCTAAAGTCACCAAAGAGAAAGTGGTGAAGAAAGAAATAAAGGCAAAACCTGAAGAAAAGAAAGAGGAGAAGGAAAAGCCCAAGAGAGAAGTGGCTAAAAAGGAAGACAAAACACCACTCAAGAAAGATGAGAAGCCAAAAAAGGAAGAGGTGAAAAAGGAGGTCAAAAAAGAAATCAAAAAAGAGGAGAAAAAAGAGCTGAAGAAAGAGGTTAAGAAGGAGACACCCCTGAAGGAAGCCAAGAAGGAAGTGAAGAAAGAGGAAAAGAAAGAAGTTAAAAAGGAAGAGAAGGAACCCAAAAAGGAAATTAAGAAGATCTCCAAAGACATAAAGAAATCCACTCCTGTGTCAGAAACAAAAAAACCAGCTGCATTAAAACCAAAAGTAGCGAAGAAAGAAGAGGCCACCAAGAAGGAGCCTGCTGCTGCTAGCAAGCTCAAGGACAAGGGCAAAGTTAAAGTCATTAAGAAGGAAGGCAAGACAACAGAGGCAGCTGCCACAGCTGTTGGCACTGCGGCTACCACAGCTGCTGCAGTGGCAGCGGCTGGAATAGTGGCCACTGGTCCTGCCAAAGAACTTGAAGCTGAGAGGTCCCTTATGTCATCCCCTGAGGATCTAACCAAGGACTTTGAGGAGTTAAAGGCTGAGGAGATTGATGTGGCAAAGGACATCAAACCTCAGCTGGAGCTCATTGAAGATGAAGAGAAACTGAAGGAAACCGAGTCCGTGGAAGCCTACGTCATCCAGAAAGAGACAGAAGTCCTCAAAGGTTCTGCTGAGTCACCTGATGAGGGGATCACTACCACTGAAGGGGAAGGTGAATGTGAGCAAACCCCCGAGGAGCTGGAGCCAGTTGAGAAGCAGGGAGTGGATGACATTGAGAAATTTGAAGACGAGGGAGCTGGTTTTGAAGAATCCTCAGAGACTGGAGACTATGAAGAGAAGGCAGAAACTGAGGAGGCCGAGGAGCCAGAAGAGGATGGGGAAGATAATGTGAGTGGGAGTGCCTCTAAGCACAGCCCCACAGAAGATGATGAAAGCGCAAAGGCTGAGGCAGATGTGCACATCAAGGAGAAGAGGGAGTCTGTGACGAGCGGTGATGACCGGGCAGAAGAAGACATGGATGAAGCACTTGAGAAAGAGGAAGCTGAACAATCTGAAGAGGAGGGTGAGGAGGAGGACAAGGCAGAGGATGCCAGAGAGGAAGACTATGAGCCTGAAAAACTTGAGGGTGAAGATTATGTGATGGCTGTGGTTGACAAGGCCGCAGAGGCTGGTGTTGCTGAGGAGCAATACGGGTTCCTGAGCACACCAACCAAGCAACCTGGAGCCCAGTCTCCTGGCCGAGAACCTGCATCTTCAATTCATGATGAGACTCTACCTGGAGGCTCCGAGAGTGAGGCCACGGCTTCCGATGAGGAGAATCGAGAAGACCAGCCGGAGGAATTCACTGCCACCTCTGGATATACCCAGTCTACCATTGAGATATCTAGTGAGCCTACTCCAATGGATGAGATGTCTACTCCTCGTGATGTGATGAGTGATGAGACCAACAATGAGGAGACGGAGTCCCCATCTCAGGAGTTCGTAAATATTACCAAATATGAATCTTCGCTGTATTCTCAGGAATACTCCAAACCCATCGTTGCATCATTCAATGGCTTGTCGGAAGGGTCAAAAACAGATGCCACTGATGGCAAGGACTACAATGCTTCTGCCTCCACCATATCACCACCTTCCTCCATGGAAGAAGACAAATTCAGCAAGTCTGCTCTGCGTGATGCTTACTGCTCAGAAGAAAAAGAAGTGAAAGCCAGTGCTGCGTTGGACATCAAAGATGTCTCGGATGAGAGACTTAGCCCAACCAAGAGTCCATCCCTGAGTCCTTCTCCGCCATCACCCATAGAGAAGACTCCCCTGGGTGAACGCAGTGTGAATTTCTCTCTGACCCCAAATGAGATTAAAGTCTCTGCAGAGGCAGACGTGACATCAGTGTCTCCTGGAATGACCCAAGCAGTAGTTGAAGAGCATTGTGCCAGTCCTGAGGAGAAGACCCTGGAAGTAGTGTCACCATCTCAGTCTGTGACTGGCAGTGCTGGCCACACACCTTACTACCAATCTCCCACTGATGAGAAGGCCAGTCACCTACCTACAGAAGCCACTGAGAAACCACAGGCAGTTCCAGTGAGTTTTGAATTCAGTGAGGAGGCCAAAGATGAGAATGAGAGAGCTTCCATAAGCCCCATGGATGAGCCTGTGCCAGACTCGGAGTCTCCTATTGAGAAAGTTCTGTCTCCTCTACGTAGCCCTCCTCTTATTGGATCTGAGTCTGCCTATGAAGACTTTCTCAGTGCTGATGGCAAGGCTCTTGGCAGAGGTATCAAAAGCCCCTTTGAAGGAAAGAATGAAAAGCAAGGAGAAAGCCCGGTGTCTGAAGTGACTTCCACCGGTCTTTACCAAGAAGAACAGGAAGGGAAAAGCACGGGCTTCATACCAATAAGGGAAGACTTTGGTCCAGAAAAGAAAACCAATGAGGTTGAAATCATGAGCTCTCAGTCAGCTCTGGCTTTGGATGAAAGAAAATTGGGAGGAGATGTATCTCCAACACAAATAGATGTCAGTCAGTTTGGCTCCTTCAAAGAAGACACCAAGATGTCCATTTCAGAAGGCACTGTCTCAGACAAATCAGCCACTCCCGTGGATGAGGGTGTGGCAGAAGATACTTATTCTCACATGGAGGGCGTGGCCTCAGTCTCTACTGCCTCTGTGGCCACAAGCTCTTTTCCAGAGCCAACCACAGATGACGTGTCTCCTTCTCTGCATGCTGAAGTGGGCTCCCCACACTCCACAGAGGTAGATGACTCCCTTTCAGTATCTGTTGTGCAGACACCTACTACTTTCCAGGAAACAGAAATGTCTCCATCTAAAGAAGAGTGCCCAAGACCAATGTCCATTTCTCCTCCAGACTTCTCCCCTAAGACAGCCAAGTCCAGGACACCAGTTCAAGATCACCGATCTGAACAGTCTTCGATGTCTATTGAATTTGGCCAGGAATCCCCTGAGCACTCCCTTGCTATGGACTTTAGCCGACAGTCTCCTGATCACCCTACTGTGGGTGCGAGTATGCTTCACATCACTGAAAATGGCCCAACTGAAGTGGACTATAGTCCTTCTGATATCCAGGATTCTAGTTTGTCACATAAGATCCCACCAATGGAGGAACCATCCTACACCCAAGATAATGATCTGTCTGAGCTCATCTCTGTGTCTCAGGTGGAGGCTTCCCCATCCACCTCTTCTGCTCACACCCCTTCTCAGATAGCCTCTCCTCTTCAGGAAGACACTCTGTCTGATGTTGTTCCTCCCAGAGATATGTCCTTATATGCCTCACTCACTTCCGAGAAAGCTCAAAGTCTGGAAGGAGAGAAGCTCTCTCCAAAATCCGATATTTCTCCACTCACCCCACGAGAGTCCTCACCTTTATATTCACCTGGCTTTTCAGATTCAACTTCTGCAACCACAGAGAATGCAGCAGGTCGACAAACCTCTTCCCCACCAATGGATGCCGCATCTGCAGAGCCCTATGGCTTCCGTGCCTCGATGTTGTTTGACACAATGCAACATCATCTGGCCTTGAATAGAGACTTGACCACATCTAGTGTGGAGAAGGATAGTGGAGGGAAGACACCTGGTGACTTTAACTATGCCTATGAGAAGCCTGAGAAAACCACCAGATCCCCAGATGAAGAAGATTATGACTATGAATCATATGAGAAAACCTCCCGGGCCCCTGATACTGATGGTTATTACTATGAGAAGACGGAGAGAACCATAAAATCCCCATGTGACAGTGGATACTCCTATGAGACCATTGAGAAGACCATCAAGCCCCAAGAAGACGGTGGCTATGCCTGTGAGATTACTGAGAAAACCACGAGGACCCCCGAAGAGGGTGGGTATTCATATGAGATCAGTGAGAAGACAACGCGGACCCCTGAGGTAGGTGGCTACACCTATGAAAAGACGGAGAGATCTCGAAGGCTCCTGGATGACATTAGCAATGGCTATGATGACTCTGAGGATGGTGGCCACACACTTGCAGACTGTAGCTACTCCTATGAAACCACAGAGAAAATTAGCAGTTTTCCTGAGTCTGAGAGCTATTCCTATGAGATGTCTACAAAAACAACACGGAGCCCAGATACCGCCACATACTGCTATGAGACCATGGAGAAGATCACCAAGACCCCACAGGCATCCACATACTCCTATGAGACTTCAGATCGATGCTACACTCCAGAAAAGAGGTCCCCCTCAGAGGCACGCCAAGATGTTGATTTATGTCTTGTGTCCTCCTGTGAATACAAACATCCCAAGACAGAGCTCTCACCTTCCTTCATTAATCCAAATCCTCTCGAGTGGTTTGCTAGTGAAGAGTCCACTGAAGATTCTGAGAAGCCCCTCGCTGAGTCCGGAGGAGCCCCTCCACCTTCAGGAGGAAAGCAACAGGGCCGACAATGTGATGAAACTCCACCCACCTCTGTCAGTGAGTCAGCCCCATCCCAGACTGACTCTGATGTCCCCCCAGAGACGGAAGAGTGCCCCTCCATCACAGCTGATGCCAACATCGACTCTGAAGATGAGTCAGAGACCATCCCCACCGACAAAACTGTCACATACAAACACATGGACCCACCTCCAGCCCCCATGCAAGACCGAAGCCCTTCTCCTCGCCACCCTGATGTGTCCATGGTGGACCCAGAGGCCTTGGCCATTGAGCAGAACCTAGGCAAAGCTTTGAAGAAAGACCTGAAAGAGAAGACTAAGACCAAGAAACCAGGCACGAAGACCAAGTCCTCTTCTCCTGTGAAGAAGGCTGATGGGAAGTCCAAGCCCTTGGCAGCGTCTCCTAAACCAGGAGCCTTGAAGGAATCCTCTGACAAGGTGTCCAGAGTGGCTTCTCCAAAGAAGAAAGAATCTGTGGAAAAGGCTACGAAGACCACCACCACTCCCGAGATCAAAGCCACACGTGGGGATGAGAAAGACAAGGAGACTAAGAATGCTGCAAATGCCTCCGCATCCAAGTCAGCGAAAACCGCAACAGCAGGTACGTGGGGGTGACCCTTTACATTCAGACCATGGTTGCATTTGCACTCGAAGCCTGTCTACACACTATTTGGCTTTTTGCTGGGAAAACCAGGGAACAGGGACTGATGATTCTCCTTCCCTCTGCCTTCCTCTTCTGCCTAAAGGTACACCTTCTTGGGCCCAGAGTGGCTCCCAGGGTTAGAGATAGCGGAGTATATCCAGTGCTGCTGGAATCCACCAAGTGGGATTGCTGGGTTAGTATCATTCTGGATGTAGCTGCAGGCCTGTCGCAAACCTTCAGAAGTAAGAATATGTCTCAGGCTGTTCAGGGAGACTTCAGGCATATTTGCCCTAAAAATCACATTGAGATGATAGGCCACGAGCACCCAAAGACCTATAGCAAACTAGAGGTTCCCTAGCAAACTTGGAATGTTCATTCTGGGCACAATATTTATTTCTTCTGAAAAATTTTAAATGTAAAATTATAAAAATTTACACATTTTTTTTAAAGCTTTCATTTGGGCAGTCTGTGCCCATTTAAACATCGGCTGTGTTTTCTTACCTGCTCATGAACAGTGGCATTCCAGTTGTTCTTCTCTAGTACAAAGAGAAGAACAAATTAAAGGCTGTTTTCTTCTTCCTTCCTACCCATGGCCTCACTAACACACTGCTTGTCCAGACTGGAATTCAACTCAACAGGAGCTAAATAGAGATGTTTGAGAGCTCCCAATTTGCCACTGATGCACAGCATTCTCCATTTCACAGCAGTGACTTGAGGCTTCCATTTTGTGAGACAGGTTCTAGCCTTATAACTCAGGCTGGTTTTGGTCTTGTGATCCTCCTGCCTCAACCACCTGTTCTGAGATCACAGGAGTGTACCACCAGAACCGGTGTGAGTAGGGTTTTGATGGAATGGCTCCTGGGCAACACAATTTCATCCTGTTGCTTTAATCATTTATAATAATACACTTTGTTTGTGTCACATAATTGCCCTGAGATCGTTGACCACAAAATAATATTTATTTATCCAAACATGTAAAGCAAAAACTTAATTTAAGCATTTCCTTGGTCTATGAGATAAAACCCTAGAGACCAACTTCTGGGGCTTTCAAATCCAGTGCCCTTTAGGACATCTTAGTTCTCAGGGCTTTATTTTACATGGACATCAGATTTGGTCAGGCTTGGCCTTTCTACAATTTACACAGAAAATAAACTGAATTTGTTCATGATCAGATTAAAGGTAAAGCCGCCAGATAATTAACTCCCTGTTTTAGAAGAGTTGACAACTGTCACATACTCAGGAGAAAGCATAGAATTTATCTAAATAGGACCTAATAAGGTACAAAAAAAAAAAAAAAAAAAAAAAAACCAGCTGAAATTTGCCAAAAACATTAGCTCATATAACTAATGAATTTTTTTTTTTTCTTTTGACATTTAAAGAGGTAAAGGCAGTGCTGCTGAGATGCCTTTACAGGTAAAAGCACTTGTCATGCAAACTTAATGACCTGAGTTCAGTCTCTGGGTGCCAGTGTGGAAAGCTGTCCCCTCTGATCCCCACGTGTATTGTGTATTCTGGCATGCACGTGCCCCTGATCCCATTACACTCACATTTCTAAAACAGGCAAAATAAATCATAAATTGACTTTGCAAACAAACCTGGGTGTTCATTTGATAGCTTTGAAAGTTGGTATATCTGTGGGAAACACTCACTTGTTGATAAAGATTTTCATGTTCAAGGGAAAAGTGTGGATGTGCTGTCCATTATGTAACAAAGGATGACTGCAAATACCTGATCCTCTTCTTGCCACTTCCCAAGTTCTGTGATTACAGGAGTGTGCTACCATACCTGGCTTATAAGTCAAAATGAGTCTCTCTGTCTCTGTCTCCATCAAGTACACACACACACACACACACACACACACACACACACACACACACACACACACACACAGGCATGGTCTTCCAACCTATTTATAAAATGAATTTACTTATCTAAATACAAGTTTGGCCCGTTCTCACCATCTCCACTTCCCCTGCCCTCACACCCCCCAAAGTAACATTGGATGGTTGATGGAATTCACTGGTTGTTTTGACTTTGGGGAGGCAGTTTTTAAACTTCCTATGGAGAAAGGAAAGAATTGGTATATAGAATCGAGCTGTTTTGAATGGGTTTGGATCAGTGTCCTCAAACCCACTACCATTTGAATCATCAGGCGTGCCCAGGCCCTGTAACAGTTAGGTCAGACTTCGTAAGATGAGGCCTGTGGCACTAAGTAACTGAGGTGGTTCTGTCTGTGGTGGTGTGCAGCGAGGCCGATCCTCCTTCCTTCTGCTAGTGTCTCCAGAATACTAAACCAAACAGGGGTGCCCAGACACTTGGGGGAGCTCATCCAAATCTTGGCTTTTCCCAGGTCTTTCTAATTTAGGCTGGGAATTTTGGCTGCCAGGTATTTCCCCAGACTGATGGGGCCCAGTTGGTTAGCAAAGCCTAGTCTTTCTGGACCCTTCTTTGCCAGAGGTTGGTGTCTAACCCTGTCTAGGGAGAGACATTTCCGTTTCCTAAGGGACTGGGCTAGCTCATCCATTTACTGGATAAGCCTGAGATGCTGAGGACCCTATGGATTATATGAGGTTGAGGTCTGAACTACTTCCTGGATCAAACTTTAGGGAATCCCAGTGAACTCTGGGTAAATTTTAAGAGACCAGAAAAAGGATTATTAAGGCCACTAAACTACGGTTTACCAAATATGAATGCTTCCTTTGGATTTTTAAAATGTTTATTAATTAGGGCTTCTTAACCTTTTCCTTTTTCTTTGTATAAAAAATGAAATTTTTATACAACCCTGTATGTCCAGGCATATAAATAAGTATACAAATCAAGCATATATTGATATAAACTCATATAGAAATTATTTTAAACCAATTCTTTGATCACATACAGAATTTATTTATTAAAGATGAAAATCTGCATACTGGTGAAGTGAGTATACCTTTCACTTTTTCCATGAAGAATTAAATTCTAGCTGTGTACTTGATGCTGTGCAATGAGAGGAGGATCATCATTTTTCAATATTTTTGTTTCCTCATCATCAATGCTGAGAATATTGCCTCATGTGAGGCGATATGCAGGTAGAGAATGGCAGAAGAATGTTTAGGACTATTTCAGAAATTATTGGAAATTATTTCCCAGCTCCAACCCAAAACTTGTTGAAAAATTTTTTTCTGAAGCTCATGCCATTAATTCAAATAGCAGTGTTGTATTTTTAAATCAAGCATTCTAGCATAAGCCAATCTAAGATACACTCATTTGATACTTGCATGCTGAGGTGATGGTAGAAAACTATGCAAAGTCTGTCTTTCTAGTTAAACTACTATGTTTCTACAAGAGTGTCGTGTTTCAGACACCATCTATTGCCATCACACAGTGTGACGGCAGGCACAACCCATAGTGGGCATGCTTTGGTCCAGAACCAAGACTGCAAGTGGAGTTGTGTGAGCCATACTGGCAAGCCCTGTCAGAGACCCCAAGCATTCATTACACATCTGATTTTGAATTAATTTTTGGTCACTGGTGACTTTTGGTCTCTTACTGTAGAAAATTATCAATCCATCCATGTTCAGTTGTTCAATCTATATGGCATCAGGACCCATGGTTTAAGCCACCATCTTGTAGAGCTTTTCGATTTAAAATGCACATCAATAAATCTTTGGGTGGAGAGGCTTACTGTCTAATTCCCTCTTTTGAAAAGCTCTGAAAACTTTTTACTTCCTGATGGGTTGTCTGCAAAGGGAAGCCAGCTCAACCTCAATTTTTCTTATTGAGATGATAAACAACCATGGTATATTTTCTCAGATTCTCTGTGTTTGATGACCTGTACAAAGTGCCAGGGAAATAATAATATTACCAGCCTTTCCATGTCCCAGAGGACCCCAGAGCTGGGGACAAGTGGATGTATTGGTGTCTTCACACTACTATGACCCTTGCTTTGTCTTTGTTATCAAAGGACCAGGAACCACTAAGACAGCCAAGTCATCCACCGTGCCTCCAGGCCTCCCTGTGTATTTGGACCTGTGCTATATTCCCAACCACAGCAATAGTAAGAATGTTGATGTGGAATTTTTCAAGAGAGTGAGGTCATCTTACTATGTGGTGAGTGGGAATGACCCTGCTGCTGAGGAGCCCAGCCGGGCTGTCCTGGATGCCTTGTTGGAAGGGAAGGCCCAGTGGGGAAGCAACATGCAGGTAAGAGCACACGTCCACCATCTGAGCTGCATTTGAGCTAGGTCTAGAGGTGGAGACAGAACCATGTTTAAATGGGAATCTTTGTGATTGTAGATTCTCATGTGGTGCCTCCTGAGTATTGCATGTGAAACATACTACACAGAAAGTCAGTTTGACATACAGAAGCTAGCCCTTTGTTTTCTCTGTGTAGCAGTTGTAGCTGTCCTGGGACTCGATATGTAAACCAGGCTGACCTTGCATTCACAGAGATCCAACTGCCTCTGCTTCCCCAGTGCTGGGATTAAAGGCATGCGCTGCCATGCTTGTCCCAAAGTAAAATTCTTGAAAGGCTCACCATTGGTGGCAGTGGAGAACCACCTTACCTAAGACAGAGTTCATGCATCTGTAAAATGACCTGAAATGAATTGCTGTTCCTACAGCATGCTGAGTATTGTACGTGTAAATCAAAGTGGTCCTGTGTCTGTGGAATTGCTGCTAAGGAATTTTTTTTACTCATTTGTGTTTCACCAGTAGACTAAAAATGGGAACATGGTCACTGGGCTAGGGGCATGGGGATCCAGTCTCCAGGTGGAATTACAGGGTGGTGCCATTGTTTATTCAACTCCAGACTCTCAGGTCTGGCCATGAACCACCCAGTCTCTGTCTCTCTCTATTGGGCTGTGATCACTGGTCATCTGATTGACGGTTTTTTTTTTCATATAATTATCTAGCAACCTATGTTTGCATCTTAAATAAGATTAATTTATAACACTTCCATAGTATTCAAATGAGAAGTACCAATCAGCGCTCTACTCCTGTTATCACCCAGTTTTCAAGGCCAACGGGTGAGCTTCTGAGGGTTTTGAGCTGCAATAACTAAAACTTCTTCTATTAAATATGGAATATAGTCTAAATATGAGAAGCTGTACCTAATCCAAACACTTCTTAATACTCCAGCATTGTTGAAAAACCAACAATGAAATTTAGATGAATGAACTGACATGTCCCTTAGCTGATTTAGATTCTAATTTCCAACCCCTCCCCTCATTGAAAACAAACAAACAAAAACCCTTTTTATTTTTACAGCTTGATTATGGTTCCTGGAAAATATCAGTTGCAAACTTCATTTGCATTTTTTGGAGAAAACAACATTTTTCTTTTGTCCCCTTCCTCTAGTGATCCAGTTAATACCTTGCTTTGTTTTTACTTCCGGCATCTATCTATGCCCTTGAAATATTGCAATATCTCCTTTTCTCCCCCTCTGTAGGTGACTCTGATCCCAACACATGACTCAGAGGTGATGAGGGAATGGTACCAGGAGACCCATGAGAAGCAGCAAGACCTCAACATCATGGTTTTAGCAAGCAGCAGTACAGTGGTCATGCAAGACGAATCCTTCCCTGCATGCAAGATAGAACTGTAGAAACCACAGCCGGCCACACCACAGGATTTGAACTTTGTTTCCAGAAATTCTTGAATTTGAAACTACCTTTTCTAAAACGTCCATTCATCTAATTAAGTCACTGAACAATTACCTGCCAAATGCTATACTGTGTCATGGTGATGCAAGTCACTGATATTTCTCAATTTTTGCTGATCGCTAAGGGAAGTAACCATATTCCCACACTAGAATTCAAGTTACTGCAAAATTACCTACCCCTGTTCATCTCTGCTGAACATTTGGAAGCCATGCACTCGCGCACCCAACTGACTTCTGCTAGGTATTGGCATTTGTCTTAGAGAGGGAAAGAGAGAGAAAGAGAGGCAGAGGGAGGGGAGGGAGAGAGCGGGGAGCGAGGGACAAAGAGAATGCAGGAGAGAGAGGATGAGAGAGAAAGAATGAGAAAGAAAAAGAATGCAAGAGAAGGAGATGCAGTGGTGGAGAGTTCTGATGTGATGCCCAGGGAGAAAGAGTGGGCAGGATGGGGTATTCTGAAGACACCAGCAACTAGGTCTGCATTTTCTCTGACAGCAGCTATTGTGTGGTCTACACTGGTGAAGTTTTCCATTTTCATCAGAGTCATCAGAAAGAGTCTTAATCTCCTAAAGCATGTTTCTAAAGAACAAAAAGAACGAAGCCTGTTATGAGGGCATGAGATTTTTCACGCCTTAATTAAATGCCTTTACTCTAAAGGCTGCACATGGCATAATGTAGCAAGTGTAGACTGGACATGCGAGTGGCTTGAGCCCCATTCAGAACTCTCCGGCTTTTCAAACACTATGAGTAGGTTGATCTAAGGCATGCTCCCAGCGTCTGTCCACCCACTTAGTCCACACCAAGTCAACCTGCATGCAGCAACAGCCACGTCCACCCCAATTCACTGAAGCAAATACCAAAGCAGTTGGGAGTAAATATGGGAGACATTTTGCCTTAGGAAGTGACTTGAATGTACAAAAAGACACTTGATGCACTTATTTTTTAATGTGAGACAGCAAGTTTTTAAAACATCCATGTAGGATTGTAGATACTCCAGGTAGAGGAGCGTGTGGGGAGGGAAGGTACTGGAAGCTCATGCGATTGGTCCAACAGTTTAGTGCTGAGTCATGCTTGTTGAATACCACCATTACTGATGCACCTGTGGCCCCTCAGCCAAACACGTTGCGCCTCTTACAGCTTCTTTAACTACTTCAAGATCGAAAATGGCTTCTATGATCAGAACTGGGAAAACAGTGAACCTTATGGTGGAAGAGGTTCCCAGCAAGTGTACAGTATTTGCCTTCCTTTGTCTTGCTTTGGCTATTTTAATTTTCCACTCATTTTAACACAGTGATGGGAACACATGTACAGAAGATTTTTTTTTTAAAGATACATGAGAACTTTTCATAGATGAACTTTTTACCGAATGTTTTCATTTACAGGAAAATGCAGAGAAAAATTTCAAGTGATGATCTTTTTTTATTTTAAGTGTTTCATAACACAAAAATTGAAGTTTTTTTTTTTTTTGAGGTTCTGGCAAGATTTGAAGTCTGATATTGAAGTCATTATATTTATTACAAACCTATAAGTACCAGAAATGGTGATACCTCCCACCCCTTGACTCTCATATCATGGAAGTGTGAGCAGGTGCTGTCTGAGAGTGGGTGGATAGCAGGGTAGGCTATTGTTGAGGGCTTTAAGTGCATCGTCACCCAGAGCTGTCCCATCTCCTCTTTCCAAGATTGTCCATCATAAGGTTAAAAGAGCCACGTCCGGAAGAACCCTCGCACCAGTTTGCTTGGGGGCTTTCTTTTCTGGAAAACATTAAATGAAAGAAATAATAGATTGAAAACAAATGAATTCCCAACTCCTCCATTCACCTTGTAGGGTTCAGACATGATGTCCATCGCTGTCATCCCTGAACCACAAAGCCGTGAAGCCAGATCACAAGTCCCAAGTGGCTGATTCATGTAGCGGGGTTCAGAGGTGGCACCCTTCTCAGCAACAACTGTGCTGTGCTCTGTCACACTACATTTCCTACAGACTCTTAAGATCTACAGAGTAGTGAACAATGACCTCATTTTATTTTCTATGTTAGTTATTTATTTCAGAATTTACATTTTAGTTTATTTTCGTCTGTGAAGTATATGTTTCGCACTGCTATTTCCTCTGAGGGTTTAAACAATGCTTCTCTAGGGTCCCCTCATTGAGGACCCATGCAGTCTACTTAAAGCTGTGAATCACATTTTCCAAATGTTTAATTTTTTAAAGAAAATTAATATTCTATTTTTGTTAGGCGTCTCTAGGAATGCAGTTTTTATTTATTATCCTTTTTCTTTCAAACCCGTAAAAGTAACACATTAAAGGTACAAAAATGTCATATATGATGGAAAAGTCATTGTGATGAAAACAGACTTCGTTGACTATAAACTCATTTGCTTCACACTTCATGAGACAAGCTGAATATAGTTAATTAATGATAGCTGTTCGATTTGTCCGAATAACGAATGAGAAAAGAAGCAGTTTCTAGCCTTCTTACCAAATCCAGACCGCTGGCTGACTTTTCTTTCATAGAAGATGGAGTTACTTTCCAGTTTCCCAAATTAAATTTATTTAGCCTGTATATTATTTTGTTTTAAAGATACAGATATCCAACAAGAGCCATAGCCAGCCTTCAGTTACAACCACTCTACCCCATACTTGTTATTGTTATTTCTACAGAATTTAATGGGGACAATACTTTTCAAAACTGTCATCAATTCACTGGCTCTGATTTCCTACACAATCTGGCAGCACCCTCCTGCACCCCCGTTCTCAGTGATGGCCATGGAGCCAAGGACACCAGGGTGAACTACCTTTGCTTTACAGGTGATTCCTGATGTCCCAAGTACCTCTCCTACCTGCTTGGCTAATCTGATTTTGCTAGTTCCATACATACACAATTAGTTTAGAAGTAGCCATCACAATGGACCATGTATATTTGTGGTGAGAGCTAAAAACCGACACAGACTTCTAGAAGATTTGTGCATATGATTCTTAATCCAATTGTATAGATTGAATATTTGAGTGGAAGGGATTTCCACCCTCTTTAAATGATGGGATTCTATTGAGCTAGCACTCCCTTTGATCATGACCTTTTTGGTAGTGTTTGTAAACAAAATTCCACAGAGACTAAATCTTAGAGATAATCCTCCATTCCAATTTTAACCAATTCTGTCCTCTTTCCAAACCCCAATTCCCATGCATGCTTTCTCAGTCTTGTGGTGGGACTGGATACAGTGACCGACCCCTCACCCCAAACACCATTTCCCATGGAATTCAAAAGAAAAAAAATTTTTTCTTATCGTTACATATCATAGTGAATGGTTTCCCCAGTGTATATGGATGTTTTAAGTGTTTCCAATAGCTTATGAAATTTAGGAGCTTTCTAATACTTATTTTATAAATTTAATTATTTGCTAATGAAAATTTTACCACCTTCCAATTCTGTTACCAAACTCAGCTCCTGAGAGCGAAACTACAATTCTGGAGTTGCTTTTCTTGCCTCTTCTGTCACCTGTCACAAGAGGTTCCTGCTTGGCAATGGTATTTGTGAGTTGGAATAATGACTTTTCTTTCTTTTTTCCTTTTGTACTTCATATTTAGGAGAAAAGATTCTGTTTCCATGTGAAAGGAACTGTAAGCTTTTATCATTTAACCAGCTGAACAACACATCAAAAGCAGCCTAGGGATGAGCAACGCTTTGATAGCAATTAGGTTTTCTTCACCTGGTGTTAAAACTATTCACTATTTCAAAACAAAACAAAAACTGTGACTTTATGAATTCATTTCAAAGGCAGCATCAAAAACTGAAAAGGAAGGAAAACAGCAACAGCTAAGAATCGGCTTCTCCGCAGTGTGGAGCTCCCCAAAACAGGAGCCCTGGAGAAGTGGCTCTGCTCAGCTGCCCTCACCCCAGCGATGGTTCCGAGTCTTGTTTTCCTGCACTGCAGGCAGCGTACAGTCCCGGGCCGGCTGTGGAGAAGCAGCTCACTCCTCTCTCTTGTTCTGAATGGTGTTTGTGTCGGTCTGCAGCTGTGTATGGTATTATGTCTTATAATCCTGCATCACTTCCATCCTATCCAGTCATATCTAATGTAGAAAAATTAGTTTCCAGTGAAAGTAATATGTAGTGCTTTTATGATATTTGTGTGCAATATCCCCTCTTCCATTGAGGATATTTGATGTAAAGGAAAAAAAAAAAAAAAAAAAAAAAAACAACAAAAAAACAGAAACTCAGTTCCACAATAAAATACAAAGTGGCAAAAGTTCACTTGTGTGTTGAGACGTTTTTGGTTTCCTTGTTACCAGGACTTTGCCACCATGATCAGGCGGTTGGTTCATGGTGGGCTCCCTGGCTATGGGTGATTAGCCTAGAGGGGCCCAAATGACTTTTGCAACTTATTTTTGGTGTCTTTTATAGTTAAGCCAATAGCTCCTCAGGGGAGGGACGTTGTGCCCACAAGGAGGAGGCTTCTGAATGTGCTTTTTGTAATTAAGTTAATTTTTGTAATTAACTGGTGAACCACTGCCTGGAAAACACGCACCCCAGCAGTGGTCCCGCACACTGGAGGAAATGTCACCTGGTAGACAATTTCTGAGGGCATTTTAGGATTAGTGTTCTGAACTCTGTAGATGAAGAAACAATAATAAAAAAGAAATACTTTTATACTATTAGGCAATCAAAAGACAGTTTCTGTTTATAAATCATATATAATTTTTTTCTCCATAGCACTTTATCTGGTATTTGAAGCCCATATGGAATTTATTTTCCAATGGGTTTGACAATGGTCTTCTGACCATGTTAAGGGTCTTCTGAACATGTCAAAGACAGATCTGGAATCTGTTGTGTATACTCAATCTCAATAAGCACACAGACTAAGTAATAATCTTGCTTTAAACAAATATTTAAAAAGATATTTATTCACATGGTAAAAGGGGCATTGCCACTAATTTTTGTAAATGGACATTTCTCTCCAACCTGATTGTTCCCAAATACCCTGTGGCTGTTTCCCAAATCACCACACAGAGTCTTATATTAATTGTAAATGCTTGGGCAATAGCTCAGGCTTATCAGTAACTAGCTCTTACATTTAAACTAACCAATTTCTATTAATCTATGTATTGCCACGGGGCTCACAGCTTTACCTAATCTCTAGCATGTTATTTCTTGGATGGCTCACTGGCATCTCTCCTGACTCCACACTTCTTCATCTGAGTCCTCAGTCTGATTGTTCTGCCTAACTTTATCCTGCCTTGCTATTGGCTAATCAGCTCTATTACTAACCGATGAAAAAAATACATAGTCACAGCATATAAGGAGGATTAATCCACGGTGATTTTTTAAAGCCTCTTCATTTTTGTACAGGGAATAGCATCTTCAGGGCCATAAGCAAAAGCAAAAGCAAAGGTTATTTTTAAGCCAAGAAATTGTTAAGACTACAAGGCGAGCTTCCAGATGTTAGAAAGCCCTCCCCATGGCCCTTGTTTAAAAAGTGGTGTTTTACAACATTTATTTTTGGTGCCATGGCCCTTGGTGGAAGCTGCCGAGATGTGCACTAGAGGGTCCCCAGAAGGAATGAGCCTGCCCTACCCCCACTAATCGTGCAAAATCCCAGCCAATTTTCCTATTTTCCCTGTTGAATTTCTCCCCCTTTCACCTGCCTTCTTGGGACCAATCCAATGGAGTCCTAGTCTTCTCTCCTGCTTTTGTGTGTGAGGTTGTGTGTGTGTGTGTGGGGGGAGGTATTCCAAGATAATGATCTGCCAAGTCTGAGCCAGCTTGACTCCAGCTCTCCAGCCCATGGAGGGCGGCCTTGGTGCGTCACCACTTTTCTAAGACTTGATTTTCATATTGTGTGAAGCACAGCTGCAACAATGAATTAAATATAATAATACATATAAAGGGTTTAATATGCCATTGGGCTAGGAGTGACCAATAAATACTAGCTTTTGCTGGGTGTGGTGGTGCAGGCTTCTAGATTCTTCAACCTCCTAGTTGTCTGCTTGGAGGCAGGTAAGCAGATAAGTAGGACACAAGTGGCATGGTGATAATGTGTCACAGGGTATGCTCTCTCTCCCCATAAAACCTCTACCTGACAAATTTCACTTGGTCTGAATTATTTGCAGAGGTTTCTTGTGGTTAAAACCTCAACTTAGTGTGTGCATGTACACACACACACACACACACACACACACACACACACACACACACACTTTTTTTTAGTGTGTCAGTAGTTCTCTTGGGAGAATAATGCAGCTCAGTTCTCTGATCTTGAACCTTAGAGGAAAGTCTGGTGGCACTCTCATTGATGAGCTCAGAGAATTCACTCAGAATTCATAAAATGGACAGGAGTCACCAGGCGAACTGGTGCTGCACGTGTGCCCTGAGGATGGCTCATAAAACTTAAGAGTAATGAGGGTGGGCTCCTGGGTTCAATCTCTTGTGGCAGTGGGATGCAAGGTGAGGAAATCAAAATGAATATTCCTTTCTCTTCACTGGTTTCATTTAGTTCCAAATGGTGCCCACTTCTCCAGGGCATACACCTGCAATCTCAGTATTTAGGAGGCAGAGGATGGATGATCTTGAGCACGAGACTAGCCTGGGCTACATAGCAAGACTCTGTCTTACTAACCAAAATAGAAGAGCCCAGAGATAGGGAAGACCCACATAGATCAAAGCTGAAACACCTGACTTGCTCCCGGTATGTCAGAAGCTGCAGATTTAAGTCTCAGGAAAATGGGCTTGCTAGAGTGATGTCTATGTCACAGGAAGCCAGGAGAGCCAGCAGAGGGTCATATCCCACAAGGTAGAGGAAGCCTATTACTCAAGGTCATCAGGATGTAGCAGGTAGAGGGCCCTTAAGTGGTGGCTCAGAGCTCACAGGAGAAAACCCTAACCCCGTTCTCTGACATTGCTAGGCAGCAGAGGCAGGAGGTGCTAGCCCCCATGGGGTGCTTCTCTGCCAGGTCCATTTCTATATCCTTTGTTCTTATGAAGGCTGGAAACCTGCTTCCCCCAACTTCTGGCTTCATCCATTCAAGGGCCCAAACGATGTGGGCTTCTAAAAATGTTCCTTATACCCACTTCTAATTCCCTGCTCCACCTCAACAGCCATTTATATACACTTATTTTCTGCAGTGGTTACAGATTCCCCAAAGGGCATCATACAGCTGCAGGCAAAACAAAACTAATGGTGAGTTAGTATTGAAAGCAAAACCAGGAAAAGAAGGTGTAATCTGTTCATTTTTAAGGCCCTTGGTGATTTCTCATGAAATCTATAGTTTCAGGCTGACCTTAATGGTGCAAAGGGTAGTGTTTGGTGTGCAAACATGAGGACTTGAGTTACAATCCAAATCACTCAATACAACCTACATCTATAAATAACCCCAGTGCTCTGTGTGTGTTTGTGTGTGTGTGTGTGTGTGTGTGTGTGTGTGTACAGAAGTGGATCCTGGAGCTTACTGGCCAGCCACACACACACACACACACACACACACACACACACACAGCTTACTGGCCAGCCCCCCCCCACACACACACCATGAATAGGTACATGTATTGCACATCCACATTTACAATCCACCCACCCCCATGTGGGATATCCATGGCCCAGTAAAGGCAGATGAGACACAACACCCTAAGGGGAGGACGTGAAAATTTGAACTTCACTGTTGATTTCTTGTCTTTTTTTTTTTTCTTTGCTTTTGTAGTCAAGTGAGTAGGTTATGGGCTCAAACAGTTTCAATCCAAACTGTTCTTTTTTCTTTCTACTCAATTTAAAATATTTTTTTCTGAGCACATTTACTCTGCACAAGACCGTGTTCATGAGGGCCATCTACAGACAACAGCTTGTGGCATGGGGCGGGGCTAATTAAAGCTCAAAGCAGGTATTTCCTTTCATTAGTGCTTTTCCATCTCCCTGCCTGCCTGGCTTTTCTGCGGCTCCTGACATTTTACCTGCATCTAACACCTCTCAGCTGTGTGTTGGCAGATAGGGGTAGCCAGCTTCCTCAGCTTCTGAAACATTATTTTTACAGGTTTATTTTTACTTTATGTGTTGTCTGTATGTATGTTCGTGTACATGTGTGCCTGGCTGCCCGATGGGGGCACCAGGTCCGCTGGAACTGGAATTAGAGATGGTTGTGAACCACCATGTGGGTGCTGGGAACTCAACACTGATCCTCTGGAAGTGCAGCCAGTGCTCTTAACCAGCCCCTGAAACCTAAGTCATCTGAAGGTAGGATCTGTATTACTCATCATCATCGGCTCCGTAGCACTTAGCATGATGCACGGCACATAGGACAAGCTGAATAAGAAACTGTGCACAGAATGTGTGATGCAGACCATAAGTTCATCAGGCAGTGGTTGGTGGGGACAAGTGCAGGAGCTCAGGAAGAGGTAACTAGCTGCGGTTGAAGATCAGGTGGCACCATGGACGGATAAGGCTCAAAGCCAAATTCCCCAGGTCAGCGTCAAAGAGTTTGCTGACATATGGAAGGAGAGGAATGAGCTTGATTAATGATAGGATGGAGGGGCACTTAAATCAGACTTCAGACCTAGACGGATGACATCATAGGGATGATGTCATGTAGAAAGGGAATTCCCGATGGCTCCCAGAACATCAGCAAGTATGGATCAAAGCTACAAATAAGTAACCTTGTCAAGGAGGAAGCGATGTAAGTTGTCCTTTGAAAGATGGTGGAGAGAAATGGTAGGGTTTGGGTACTATTAAGGGCAAGAGAAGGGAAAACAAGGCTATTGATGTGGCCCCATTTTCCTGACGAAGTAGAAGGCATCAAGGGTCTTGGGCTCATGTGGAGTGGTGAGGCTATTGAAGTCAAAATGAGTCTGTCGATGAACAAAATGATCAATGAGTTCGGAGGACAGCCGTAATTGTGAAGAGTAATTTAATTAGCATCCAATTTATTACTCCACACTAACACCAGCACTGTTACTAAGAACCAAACACTGAGGGGCTTTAAAATGGACTAAATAGTCTGGAGGCTCAAAAACCCAGTCATAGCAGGACTGAGCTGTCTGAAGCCTCCAGGAGAAACTCCTCCCTTGCTTCTTCCATCCTGAGGTTGGCAGGCCTTCTAAGCTTGTAGCTGTTCCACTTACCAGTCACCCTGTCTGTTTTCACACTGCCTTCTGCAATATGGTTATCTCTGAATCCACACTCCCTCTTTTAAAGAACACTAGTCTTCTGGGCTAGTAATCTCATTTTAATTTGATTCCCTCCACAAAAGATCTTATTCCCAACTAAGGCCAGATTCCAAGGTACTGGGGACTAGGACCTCAACAGACCATTTTTAGGGGATACGATTGTGACTGTTCCAGAGGTAGGTCCATGAATACTATCAGAAGATGCTAATACAGTATTTCTCAACCTATGGGTCATGACTGCTTTGGGGGAGGGAGCATCTCAGATATCCTGCATATCAGATATTTACATTATGATTCATAACAGTAACAAAATCAGTTATGAAGTAGTGACAAAATAACTCTATGGCTGGGGTCACTACAACATGAAGAACTGCCCAGGCTGGAGGGAGGTAAGAAACCAGATGCTGCAGATCAAGTTTGGGTTACAGAGTACAGATGAAGGGGTTGCAGGCAGGAGGAACAGGGACAAGCTGTTTCAACAGGGGTCATGGTAGGAGGTAAAAGCAGAAAAAGGCACCTCAAATCTAAGGCCTTGGATAGTCTGCCCCAGATTCTCCCAGACTGAGCTAAGGGGCTAGGTTATCAAGTTTGTTCACTGCACAGAAGACATCAACGGAAGGATCAGTGGTCAACTATAGCTAGAAGCCTCAGCTGTCAAGTAAGAGAGGAGGACATCATAAGTTCAGGAGGCAGGTGAGTAGGGAAGGTATAACAGAATGGAAAGCCAAGAGATCCCAGGATGGGGACAGTCACAGAGGAATCTAAGGAGGGGGGATTTGCAAGCTCTCACAGGGACAGGGAGTCAGGGACAGGAATGTCTCTTTGAGCAAGGATTGAAACTGTAATGGGGCATTAGGGGAAGAAGAATGAAGGCAAAATTAGGAGCCAAAAACTGAACAAGATGCTTCAACAGCAATAGTCACTCCTTGGTTGCGACTGGATTTATCCTGAATCTATACAGGAATGGCCGACAAAACCCTGCCTCTGATGAACCAGAATGCCAGCCCTGACTTTTTGTGATAACCTGAGTCAGTGCCGCTGGCCTGGAGGACCCTGGCTGAGGTTAGATGTGGAGAACCATGTGGATTGGGGTAGCAGCAGCTGAACTTAGGGGAGGTACTTAAGTTTACCTCCTTCCTTATAGCATGGGGATAATGGTGTTATCTCACAGGGCTCAAAATGCTGGCCCATTATGTCTCTGATGACTGTGAGTAATGACTGTTATTATTACACTTGTCGTGGTCTGATGGAAAACGGCTAAAATGTGCTGTGCCAAACAGTAGAATTAAGGGCAAGACCCTCTCCCTCCTTTTCACCAAAGATAAATGTACTGACATTACTTTGGCATCTTTATTTCTACAGGTTTTGATAGTACAACATTGATTAAGATGCACCCTTGCACTTAAAAACAGCATTCACTACACAGGAGGCAATGCCCATGGCCTTCTCCCAGAAAGGCTTCCAGGAATATTAATGTCCCATCTTCTGACAGACTGCACTGATTTCCATCAGCTATGCATTTCAAGTTCCACCCCTTTCCTGCTTTAATAGAAAGGTTTGCTCTAAAGTTGTCTCTGTGTGTACATGTGTGCACACACCTATACCAAAGGTTCATTTTACAATCTGACAATGTATGGGAAAAAGTTGCTCCAACATGCTAAAGAAGCCCACAGGATCTCACACCCAGGGCAAAGTTTCTCCATAAGTGTGACCGTGGGTTCCGACAATCAGAAATCTAGTGTGAGATTATGGTCTAGAGACCTGTGCTGGACTTCTCCCAGAGGGTAAGAGGAGGGCAAGGTGTAGTGGGAAAGAGGCAGTGGGAATGTGTGAGCACCCAGGGTCCCATCACCAGGATATCTGCACTAGTCAGGGACTATGGGGCACAAGGTCTCAGGACATGCAGCTTGTGGCCCTATGTGCCTGGGCAGGGGCATGAAACCATTCAAACACCACCCACCACCCCCTCCCCCGTGCTGCAGACCAATTCCTTAGCTATCACTTCTCCCATTACCCTCCCCAGATATTGGGAACTTTTCACACTCTGTGACCAGGACTCCACTGTGAGCCCTGAAAGCCCATTAAGAGATTTAGCTGGTGGCTTTGGCCCAATAATTTGCCACTGCCATTGACATCTGGATGGGCAGTGTCTTGACATGCAGCACATTGTGGCTTTCTGTGGGAAAAGGAGAAGATGGACAGCAGAGGCCGAGTCCCATCCTGTCCGGGTTGAATGCTGGGGTGGCCCACACAGTCCTTGAGTAGGGCCAGCCTGGGCCCTTTAGGCTGCAGTCTTCGCTGCATTCAGTGTCTGGTATTCTTGCTTAGCTCTCTCCCTCTGCTCCTGTTCCCTCTGGATCAACTGCACCTGCTCCAGGTGCCACTCACGCAACTTCTGCTCATAAGCGGCCAGGTCCTCGGCCTCACATGCTGGGAGTTTTTCTTTAACAAGCTGGGTGGTCAGAGTCAAAAGACTTTCTGATTCAACTCTGCCCAACTCCTGCAGTTTAGATTGAGAGGCCTGTTGGAAGCAAAGAAAAAAAAAATTAAAAGATAAGGGAGCAGGTGGGAGAAAAGAGGAAATGAGAAGCAATTAGGTTCTCTACTACAGAGCCACACAATCTGCTTGCAGGAAAAGATGCGTTGTTGGAAGCTCCAGGCTTCTTCTCCAGGTGCAGCTGCCTCGGGCTGGTTTCTCCAGCTCAGCGGTTATGCAAAGATGCAGGCAGCAGCACAGCACGTGTAATCACACCACCTTGACTCAACTGCAACTCTGCAGCCCCCTACTCCCTGCATCACTGTCCTTATTTAACCACAAGGACAGCAGAGTTGTAACACACATTTCCACTTGGGCTTGCTCCTAATTAAGCAGTGAGCTCCAAGTAACAGAATTCTAGGATGCAAACAAGATGGCAGAGACTTCTGAAACCAGAGCCAGCTCATCCCCATCTTCACTTAAGTGGCTTCGGCTGAGTCCCCACCTTTGGTTCCTTTCAACAGATGGAACTCATTTCAGGGATTTCTCACTAATGCTAAACAGCTTTCTGAGTGCATGCACAGGGCAGGCCTCCACCTGCTGGGCTCCCCTGCAGATTGGCCCTTACCTCCTGCCTGCTTACAGTTCCATCTGAGATGGCTGCCTGGTTGGGTCAGCACAGTATTCCCGAAAGAAGTACTAAAAACATTAATCTACTTAAGTGCTTCAAGATGTACATCACCAAGAGTGGCTTGTAGGGCCCCAGCTGCAGCTTAGTGGCAGATGTCCATGTTCTTAACCCAAGGTGACGCAGTGTACAGGATAAGGCCTGGCCAGCAAGAATGGTGGAAGGAGGCAAGGCCCATGAGCTCTAAGGAACAGACAGGTCTAATTACCGAGAACAGATTACCTCAGACTAGTGAAAATCAGGTAACAGGAAGAAAGGAAAATGGAAACTGAAAATGATTTCTTTCTGATATCATTTTCCAGGTAGTCTGAAGCTAAAGAGATAGCCAGGGTCACCAAGAGGAAATCTCAACTGTGAGGGAGCAGAGCTTGGTCTAAAGCCAGCTTCAGTTATGGACAGGCTCAGTGCTGTGTCGTGTAAACCGAGACTCTCCCACCCAGGCATGCAGTAAGGATAAAGGCAGGGCAGTGGGGCCCAACACAGCTAAGGTCACAGCTAGCAGGACACAAATATTGTTTCTGTCCTTTCTTGAGTTTTCATAAAGGGTCCTGTGGAAGTATGAGGGCTGAGAAGCTAATGAAGGCACAGGTTTTCATCCTTTGATGACAAAACCCAGGAACCATTAAAGAGAACACAGTGAAGAATCTGTAGGAGAAGGAGATGGTTTTCTTCAAGCTTTGTAAACGGACAGGCAAAGTCAAGAGGGAAGGGCCATGAATAAGTTCTCCACTTTGTTTTGTCCTCGGGGTATGATGGGAACATTACTTCTTTATTCAGTTTCCGATTATAGAAGGGAAGAGCTGGGCAGTGACCTCCCTTACAGAAGTACCAGGAGAAACAACTGCCTAAAATACATTGGGATCCCATTATGATAAGGGGAAAGGCTGCCCATTGCTGCTTCAGAAGACACAGACCTAAGTGTAAGAATCCAGCAACAGTTCTCCCTACCCGGTGTGAAAAGGTCCAGCTGACCAGCTGGCATGGGTGGAAAATTTTTCTGTTCATATAATGACTTTATAATTAGAAAGTGCTTTTTTTTTCTTTTTGTATCAAATAGACAAGAATCAAGGCAGGGAGGAGGACCGTGATTTTCTTCCCTTAGGACAGAGTTGAAAGCCAGCGTGAGTGCTTAAAGTTGTTCTGGAAACGTGTTTACATGTCATGTAGTGTTAGGCAGTGTCTCTACTAGCCCCCTGAATAGCACAAAGCTGCCATCCACGAGACACAAAAGGTGCCTGAATCTTATCACTGTATGCTGAAAATGTGACTAGTATCTAACTGGGTTTCCAATCCAGCACTTTTGGTGTAGTGTAGTGTAATGACCAGACACCTTCCACACCGAATGGGAGTCAGGCTATTGTTAGGAGGAGGCAAGGCATTGTCCACCCGTCAGGCATATAGGAGGGGTCAATGGGGATGGCGTGCTGCCTTAGGAAACAACACTGGGGCTGATTGATTAGCTCAAGTACAAACTCAGAAACATTCCACCTATTTCTCTTAAGGCCACAGCCTGTGGGAAGCAATACAGATGCAATTCTTGATGTGAGTTTTTGATGCCTTTGTGTGTGGCTGATGCAGGAAAAGACTGCCTGTCCATCACCAGAGAGAAGTATGTTCATGCAGGGCTGGGAAAGGCTCAACTTCTGCTCTGAATCACCTTAAATCGCTCCAGGTATCGTGGAAGCTTGGAATGTTCTGGTTCCTCGATGTCTAGCTGCTCCACCAGGTTTGCTGAGCCCAAGCTACCTTCACCTTCCTGGGGCTCTGTCTCTGAGGCTTGGTCAGCTGGAGATGTCACCTCCTTCAGGACTCTGTCCAGCACATTAAGCTGTGGGGCACAAGAGGGTTAGCATGACATCATTTGTTATGGGCTTGACTTTGTGAAGGGCAGAGACAAAGAAAGGGGAAAGGGGGACTGAGGATAATGTTGTGGGTAACTGGGGTTACTGAGTAACTAGGTTACTGGAATGGCTGAGCATGCACGAGGTATGGAGTTCAATCCCCTGTGCTGCAAATAAGGAAAAAGAAGGAAACACAATAATTATGTTTTTATACATTAGCAATGTCCTCTCAGACATCATGAGGAACTCAGTACCAAACAGAAGCTACAGACAAGAGCTAAGGAGTGAATCAGCATAATGGTAAATTAAGTGTGTTTTTAATTAGCGAGGTAGGAATCCAGGAATTACGTTTGATGGGCATTAAAGAACCTCCTCCACTTTCATGTCTTTCTTTGGAGTCAGTCTGGAATTGGGACAAAGGGAAAGAAAAGACCACCATAGACCACAAACAACAAAAGGCTACTCTGAATGCACATTAAAGCCGCTGGCTATAGGCAACTCCCCCCCACCCTCCACAAGATCCCAGCTCACAGAGTAGTATAAATTAGGGATCAGCCTAATCCACACAAGCTGCTGGCCAAGGCCAGAGATGCACACAGGAAATTCATTTTAATGAGGGGTTCTGTGACTTAAATAGAAAGCAACTGAAAACATGGAGGTTCCTTTTGTCTGCTCTTTTACTCCTCCACCTCCACTGTGTGCACACCTCCCTTAACCAGTGCAGGGCTTGGCTGGTCATGGAGATGGGAGGAAACAGCAGCAAGGCCTGCATAAGCACCTGTGTGGATACTGAGTAAACCCATCAATGTCACAGTCGAACAAAGCACCAACATTACCCCAAGGCTTTACTGCTTCTTATACTTATATATCACATTCTTGTTGACATACAAGTAATTCCTATACATTAGAATAAAAAGAATGCAAAGTTGGCTAAAATTAGAAGGAATTATCCCTGGTGAAGGATTTGTGCATAATTTTGTGTTTTCAATTACCAACACTGAATACAGCTAGCTTCAAACATACACATTTAGAAGTGTGTATCCTTGGTTGTAATGACTGGGAAAGAATGTGAAGGACACTGTCAGCATAAGGTGCTACGGGAGGATCTGACTGAGTGACTAAAATGGAAGCTCAGCGTGTTCAGGGTCAAGTCCACACAGATGGATAGCCCAAGGCAACCTTTCATTTTGATAAGACAGTGTCTGGGCCTCTCTCTGGATGGAGCAACAGGGCTGGGAGGGAACACTACAGCTCTGTGTTCGGTGTAAGGCTGCTATGTTTCCTAGTCTGGCTATGCCTGGTGAACTCAGTGTCAGGGGGTTTAAGTGACTAAGAAATGAACTTTGGCACAGGTAGGAGGACACTGAGATAGGCAAAGTGAACAACTTAAACTGTTGACAGGACCCTGTGTCGTAGATTCAGCATCACACATGTTCCACAGGACAGTCCAATGGGAAGGAAGTAAGACGAGTCTTCTCCAGTATCCAGGTTCTATGTGGCTGATGAAGACAGTGGGTGTGCCTGTGTCTGCTGGTAGACTTCAGAAAACAATCTCAAGTGTCACTCTTGGGCATTCTCTGCTTTTGTTGTTTGAGATGGGGCCTCTTGGCTTGGAGCCTCACCCAGTAGTCTAGGTTAGCTGGCCAGTGAGCTTCCAGCATTCCATGTCTCTCTGCTTCCCACCCTGCCATTGCTGGGGCTGTAGCATGCACTGCTGTGCCTGGCTTTGTAGGGGGCTCTGGGGATCTGAACTTAGGTACTTAAACTTCTGAGGCAAATACCAACAGCCAAAGATTATAAAGAAAATTGCTCTCTAGTCTCTCCAGACTAGAAGGATAAATCCACCAAAATTATTCAATCTTTCTCTTAATTTATTTTGGATGGGGAGAGGATGGTATTTATTGAGCTGAGTTTGAATTTCAGGGAAGGGGACAGTTTTTCTCCTATATAATGAGATAATCAACAAAAATCTTATTTTCCATTGCCTTGTCAGCAACATTGAAAATGTTTGTGGTTTCTTTTCATCCTTTTTAACAGAATAAATACCAATTCTGTAGAAATATAGAGAGCAGGGGAAGGGGAAAGACAACAGATACAAATTCAAACCACCCAGATGAACAGTGTTGGTTCCATCTGACTGAGTGGGGGGTGCAGGAACATACCGGTTCTCTACATAGCTTGAGGTCTTCAGGGGAGGCGGCCACCTTTTCCATCACTTGAAGGGCTCTGTCAAGGTAGCCTGGTGTCCATATCAGAGGCATGTCTTGGTACACAGCCCTCAGCCCGTGCTGCAGTTCCACCTTCCCTGTGGCCAAAACAACCACAAAGACTGCTCAGTATGCCCCCCAGCATGTCTGCAGCCAGAAAACAGCAGCCTAGATGAGGAGGAACCACACCTTGCACATTATAAATGCAAGCTTTGTGAACTTGCTTTACGTGTTTCATCTGGCTGGAGATCCACCAGAGCCCATGAAGCATTGGGCTGAGGAATTTTGAGATACAGAAGGTTGCTGCCCTTCAGACACAAGAAAATGGAAATACTATTTTTGTTCCAAGGCCAAAACCTTCCCAAGAAAAAGAAACTTCACAACTTTCCTACTGTGAAAACCCTGTGAATATCTGTCAACTTTCTCCTTCCAGGAAATGTGTGACATGCTTTGAAAGATGCCAAACATCTAATCTAAATTGTCTTCATGAAAGGAGAAAGGAACAAACAGACAAAGAAAAAACCCCAAATCTTTTCTTTGCGCATTATTAGTTCTTAAATCAAGAGTCCTAGTAACCTTCTGGCTCACAGGGCCTGAATTTCCCCTGGGTCCCTCAAACTGTCATGCAGGCTGTGGTGGGGCAGCAAGGTCCTGAGAAGCACAGAGCCTATGCACCAGGGGACAGAGCCTTTCCACACTGATGAGCAAAGTCACCTTGGGCAGCTGGGTCTTAAGTCTGCCTCCATCCATCTTTCCTGGGAAGGAGGATTTGGGAAGCTGTAGGAGGATACCAACAGACAAAGCTAATCAGGAGATGGCTAATTTTAGATCTTTAAGATGCTTGGGCTGCACAGGGATCATTCTGGGTTGCGGGCCTGAGTTGAGTGAGGCTGCAGGGCAGGATACAATGAGAGCAGGGATGGGGGGGGGTTGTCTGATGGCATGGCTGCCTATCATAAGGGACCAGGGCCTCTACCCACAAACAACAGCCAAGTACATTTTCTTAGCCTTGCCAACTTTCTGAACGATCCATGCAGAAGAGTAGTCCTGGACATTGATCTCAACACGAAAGTGGAAAAATGCAAATCAATATCTAAATAGGAAGCAAATAATCAAAATGTGATTTTAAAGAAGAGCCGAAGGTTGGGTGTGGCGTCATACACCTGCAGTAACAGTGCCTAGGGAGTGGACACAGGGAGATTCAAGTTGGATGCTAGTCTGGGCTATAGCAAGAACTTGTCTCTGAAGGCCAAAACCCAAGGCTGAGGATATAGCTCAGTCAGTAAAGGGCCTGCCTAGGATTCTGGGTTCAATTCAACCATCACATTAATCAGGCATGCTTGTAATTCTAGCACTTAAGAGGCAGAGGCTGGAGGATCAGAAGTTCAAAGTATTCCTCAGTGACTACAGTGAGTTCAAGGTCAGCTGGGGAAGAATGAAACTTTGTCTCAACCAACCAACCACCCCAAACAAACTCTCCAAATAAAACAACAACAAAATCCTCAAATAAAACTAAGCAACAAAAAGAGTGAACACTCATGTTAGCTTGCTAGTCAGTCTGACACACTGAGAGACAGGTTTCTCAGTAGTTCACATTAGATCCAGCATCCAAGAATCCACACTATATTTTGTTGGCAAAACTTCAACAGCAAAGAGTTATACCTTAGAAAGACAAGCAGAAGCAAGGAGCATAGAAAAGGCACTTTCATGGAGGCCTAACTTCTAGAAAGGGGGCAGAGTGTGAAATAGCATACATCTGGTGAATCCCTGTCAACTGGGACTACATCTGATGTAGTCAGGCTGGATGGTCTGTCCAGATTCCACACACCCCAGGTGCCGAGGCTGTTCTCTGTGCCTGCCCCATTCTCTAAAGCCACCATTGCACCTGTCTGTACAATCACACGGGACCAACAGGTGACTCCCCCAAAGAAGTGTTCCCTCAGAACCTCTCTTCCCTCACCTGAAACAAAGTCAGAGACACAACTTAACTCTCTTTCTTACCTCCAGGACTACGGTTTAATTAATACTGTGGAAGAGTACTAGCCAGTGCTTCTGCTAGAGTGCCAGAACTTACTTCAAGCTTTCCCCTTCCTCACTCTGACCATAAATGAATTTTACTACAGCTAACAGAGTCAGTTCTGACCCTGTCACTGGTGACAGGTCTTATGACATCTCTTGACTGTCCATAATTGTAAGGCCATTGAGGGTTATTTTGGAACTTTACTAGTAAATTTTAATGAGGTTTTAATTTTATTGAGATAAAAAGCCATGGCACATCTTCCCACAAAGAACAATATTAATAAGGCTCATTTAGCTTACCAAGAAGTGCATAGCCATACAGTTGGGAACTCAAGCCCACTGTGTTTTTTTGTTTTAGGCCTGGAAGCAACAGGGACACACCAAAGTTCCTTTCCTCTTCCCACTGCAACAGAAGACAACAGATCATTGTCTATTACAACCATGGATACTTCAAGCAAAATATAAATTTTAGGAAAATGTGAATTACCAGAAAAAAGAAATCAGAACAGAAATGCCCTACATATAACTAAAAAGATGACCAGGTGGTAAAATTATGAGGTTGTTTTGGCTTTCTTCTTTGTGCTTCTCATTATTTTCCATACTTTGGGTAATGAATCGGTGCCTTTTACAGTCAGAAAAAGAAAAGAAAGTAGAGTACACTCTGGACCCACGCTGACCTGAGAGTGTCAGAGATGCCCCATAGGCTGTCGGCTTCTTACTATCATTGCTCCAGAGGGAGGGAGAACACCCACAGCACAGCAGCGGTAAAACTTCTTCACAGTGTTACAATAAGTACCACCATTAAGTTACTTTTAGTTACATTTGTGCCTCTTGAAAACAAATTAGGCAATCAGAAACACTTAGTGACTATGCCTTTCAACCTAGGGTGTAAAATTGTACTTCAATAAAATTGAAGCGTTTTGAGAAATGAAAAGAAAAAAAAGGGCAAAGCCACAAGCCTTGCTGAGCTTGCCGCACACCAGTAACAGATGTGACTGGGGCACTCTTTGGAAAGCAGAGCTCAGAGGAGGGGGTGTGGCAACAACCCAGACAACAGGAGCTCTAATCCTCTAGACACAGTCCCACCCAAGGACAGACTGAAGTCCTTCCCCCACAGCACACACGCTGGCTGCATGGTCTCTGCCCTGAGAAGCTGGGAGAGAGGCAGAGAAGGGATGAGGTCTGCAGTTACAACTGTTGCCATGGAGAGAGGCTCTTTGGTTTTAAAGATCTCCTGACCATGCTTCATGCAGCACAAGCCCCAGTTCTTGAGATTTCCCTAGACCTTGGAAAAAAGTGGATCCCTGGAAAGGGAAACTCCTTGTAGGCTTCCATAGTACAGATAAGGAAGAACTGTTAATTGAGGACCTCCTCGATTTTCCAATGCAAACCATTCTGGCTTTTGGGTATGTGTTGGAGAGCAAAGCCAGGGCCTAACACTGAATTACACTTCCCAAAGCCGACACTATAATCTAGGCAAGTTTGCTTCTCCCACTGATAATCTGAATAGTGGGTCCAGTGCAGAATAAACAAGAAGCCTGAAAGCCTTTTCTTACACTTACTTTTCAATTTAACTTTGCTTTTGAGAAAAGTTTTACTAGGTAGTTCTGGCTAGCCTGGAAGTTGCTACGATATAGAACAGGCTGGCTTCAAATTTTATTTGTTTTAGCAGGTCTGTGTATAGTTTGGGCACAACAGTGTGAGCCCATGTCTCTCTGTGTATGTAGAAGGGGAGATGGGACAGGATAACAACGTGCAAAGGTCAGCTCTCTCTTTGTACCATGTGGATTCTAGGGATCCAATCAGGTCATCGGATTTGATGGCAAGTACCCTACCCACTGAACCATCTCACTGTCTGAAGCCTTTTTCTCCCTGGGCAGAAAAGATGAGCTGCAGTATGAGGGAATAGAAGCTGAATGAAGAGCAAATATACAAGCTGACATGCTGGGACCAGTCAGAGTTGATAGGGTCTGAGATGACACAAGATGAGCATCCCTAATCTGAAAATGCAAAACGTTTCAAGCTCTAACACTCTTTGAACTCTGAAATGATACTGCAAGTAGAAAACACCACATTACAAGGAACATTTCATATACAAATTAAACATAATGCATAAGCATCGCCTTTAGGATGAAGATTTGGTTCCTTCTCTAATGTATCTCATTGTGCAAACATTCCACAATTTAAACAAATCTGAACTCCAAAACAAGTTTTGGTCCTAGCACTTTCGAGCATATTCTACTGGTAATGTGGACTGTCAGGCGGCACCAGCAAGGTTTGCCCATTTTAGGCCATGCCTTGCCTATCAGCACAAAGCAAGCCTTCACCTTCTCGCCTCCTTTTCTCTTCACAAACTAGATACCCTGAGTTACCTATACTCGATGTCCTGTCTGTACACTTCTAAATCCCCCAGTAATCCATTCCGTAATCCATTCCAGTCTGGCTTCCTGCTGTTTCTCTATGGAGATGAAATGAACCACTTATAGCTCTGATGTCATTAAATTAAATGACTGAGTTATTCCTGTGTTATACTACCCTTTCTCCCAGGCCATTCTTTCCATGGTTTGTGTGGTCCAACACACTCCAAATTTTCCTTTTTAACTTGTGAGTAACACAAATTTGTGTTTAATGCATTTGATATAAGTACGCTGACATCTCATATATATATGATGTTGATTTCCATTTGATTTTCTCTTTGGATCATTTGCACACATTTATATATGGATGTAAAGCTCCAAAAGTGCCTTGTAGTTCAACCGAGAAATCTTTAGACTGCTTCAAAATATCCCTGGTTTGCAACATGGTCAGGGCCAAATTAACCATTTCCTCACAAAACCCTGTCTTTCCCCCAGAGTTCCCTTTGCAAACAGTTGGAAACTGAGGCTCTGACATCTGATCCCCACTTCTGTGTCTGTGGGTACTCTAGTTCCACCTCCTGTGGCCACTCCTCTATCATTAGCTCCTCTCAACCTCTGTAAGAATCTCTAAACTGGTCTGCCCACAGCTAACCCTCCCCTTCTCTCACCTTACTGCTCAGGAATGACTTCAAAACACAAATCTAATTATAATACCCTCCTGTTTAAAATTGTAGAAAACTAATCACTATTTGTGGATGACAGCAGAATAGCCTAGCATGGCCTATGCTCTCAGTCTTATCTCACTCAAACCCCATACCCTTGACATTCTCTTTGTTGTAGGGGCATCACCCTCACAATCATGGTATCTCCCTGCCACGTAAGTACATGTGACATGGTGCATTTTCCTCCAGCCTTCCCCCTGACCCTATCTGGGTCTCACTATGTTGCCCAGGTAACACTGAGCCTCCATCCTGGGAACTCAAGCAATCCTCCTGTTTCAGCCTCACCGTGAGCATGGGTTATAGACATGTACCACGGTACCCAGCTTCCATTAGCGCCTTTTCTGCCAGTTTGGCATATTGTATTTCCTCTTTAACTAGCTAATAATTCATCTTTCAAATATTGACCTTATAAATAACCCCATAGTCCCTTTCTAATCAATTTAAAATACAAAGAAAACCCTTCAATAAGGGTTTTTCATTGACTTATCTTGGGTAGTATTCATTAGATCATAATTTCATAGCTGCATACTTCTTTTGCCTACATGTGTGTATGTGCACCATATGCATGCCTGGGGTCTGTGGAGGTTAAAACAGGGTAGCTGATCCTCTGGAACTCGAGTTTTAGCTGGTTGTGAGGCACCATGTGGGTTCTGAGATCTGAACCCAGTTCCTCTGCAAGTGCAATAGGTGCTCTTAAGCATTAAGCCATCTCCCTGGCCCTTTGTTTTCTTTTAAAGTGCTAGGCTATAAGCAGAAAATGTTTGGTTAACTGCTATATAGGACTTGGCAAATGATTAAAAAACTAGGCTCAATATATATAAGCTATATCACAGGTTACGACAACTCAGGAAAGCAGAATATTTCCGGTCCACACAATGAGGGCTGGACTGGATGACACTTCAGCTCTATCCAAACTGAGATTTTCTGATCTGGTACTGAAATTAAGGGGACATCACAGGGCCACCATGCCTCGCATTATCTACTGGTGCCATGGTTATTCTGTAGCATCTCTATGCCTCAGCCTCTCTATCTCTGTAGAGTTGCTGTGAAGATTAAAGTATAGAGCAAGTGTTGTTTAATATCAGTCACTGGTGTTCTCACCACCATTTCCTTAAGATAACAGTAAACTATAAGTAAATATAGTTAAGAGCTTCAGCTTAAGAGCTGAAGCCAAAGCTTGGGGTGCTACACATTCTGAAACACAACTGGTGTGGAGCAACTGCAGGAAAACACTGAAACAAACAAAATGGTCATATTAAACACACTAGCTCATGGTTAAAATTGGCTGTCCACCTGCTTCTTTAGCCTGCCATGTCTGGCTGTCAGTGATTATCAATGACTCACTGTAGAATGTCTGGGGTCACCTAACTTGGCTCAAATTTCAAATTGTACACAACAGGCTAGGGTTGTAGCTCAGTAGTAAAACGTTCACCTAGCATGCAAGGGGCCCTAGGTTCAACCCCCCAATATCAAAACAAAACCAACCTTTCCTACCTCCACAAAATGTATGTACGGGCTTTCATTTGGGAAGTGTCCAGTTCCATTTTGTAGAAAAGAAAAACACACTGAATGAACGTTCATTTCTGGCTGTACACAGTCAGAGCTGCACATGGACATTTTTCTCCAGATTCTGAGGGCAAAGCTTCGTCTACCTATCCCTGTGGTCACTGCCTAACTTTCCTCTGGCTCTCAGTTCCATGTCAGGGCATATCACTTACTGTGAGGTCTGTCTTCTCTGCCAGGCAATGGTATAAAACATAAAGGGAGAGAAATTGGGTGGATGGCACTTCAAAGGCTTCTTGCATCATGATCTCAAAAACCACAGATAAAGCATCTGGCAAGAAGATGACGAGAGGAAATTAGTTGTAGGTAACATCCTTGAATCTCTAATATAAACAAACACTCTTTCAAAGTGCAGTACTGTGGCAAAATAAGCAGAATTAAGATCTAGGAAACACGGGCTTTGGTCCTAGTTTTTCTACGAAGCAGGTCCTTTCCAAGGCATTCACACCTACTATATACACTGTGTGTATACACTGCATCAGGGGAATTTGCATCAGTGACTTCAAACATGTCTTTGGCTCCCAGTAAGTAGCACCTTCATAATGATCAAATACTGCCTGCTCTATTTACTTCACCAAGATAACGCCTCACACAATGTCCACCAGCCAGAAAAGCAAAGGCATAGGGGAAAGAGGCACATCACTGCCAAGGTCACCCTGATAAGCAAGCAGGCCGCCTACTTCTCTCTGTTATGATGCTTTCTCGATGTTGAGGCAAAACAAGACAAAGGCTAGAGGAACTCCCAAACCCCGGGAATTTTTTCAGACATAAACAGGGATAATAAAGATCAGTTTAAAAGAAGGAAGAGAGAAATGTTTCTTTATAAATTATAGGCCCCAAATTATAACATAGCAATGTTATTTATCTCTACATGAATGCCAGTCATACAAGAACAGGTCCCAGATGACTCCTATTTTCCTATGATATTCTACAACATAGACAAAAGCCAAGAAAATCAAGTTCAAACAATTGCTTTCCCTCAGTAATTTGTGGTCAAGGTAGAGAATGTTAATGATAACATTGAAACATAATGCTTACACACGCCACAAGCTCAACAAATGTTTTCAACTGCATGTATTTGCTCCTCTGCTCACTTTGCATACACTCATAATCACACAAGAGTTAGCATGATGCGCAGCTATTCCTGGCTAGTTGGTTTTGCACACGCTGCGATGGTTTTATGGGAGGCTAAGAGGCTTCAATTTCTTGTCCTTTTTGCAAATAGGGAAACTGAGATAGACAAACCAGTAAAACATCTAGTAAGTCTAGCAAAATAAGGACCTTTAAGAGATTTTCTTTTCTTATTTGAGACTTGGTCTCATTATGTATCATTGGTGAGTCTGAAACTCACTAGACAGGCTGGACTTGAACTCATACGGATGGGCCTGCCTCTGCTTCTCACATAAAGGGATGTGCCACTAGGCTGGGTGAGATTTTCTTTTAAATAATCACATCAATATTTTCAAAGAACACAAGAATTAAAGCCCATTTTGTTGCTGCTGTTAAAATTTATTTATTTTTAACTTTATGTGTATGGGTGTTGGCTGAATATATGTCTGTGCAATACATGTGTAGTGCCTGAGGAGGCGAAGACGGTGCCAGGTCCTCTAGAAGTGAAGTAAGAGAGGGTTGTTGGCTGCCATGTGGGTGCTGGGAACTGAATGTGTCCTGTACAAGAGCAATCAGTGCTCTGACACTCTAGTTCTAAGTCCCCACTCTTTTTTCCTACTGAAATCACATATTTATTATTTTTATTACATTATTACTTACTATTTATTTCATGTGTGTGGAGGTCAGAGGACAACTTGCTAGAATCAGTTCTCCCCTTTCTACTGTTTGGACTCCAGACATCTAACTTAGGTCCTTAGACTTGGCAGCAGGAGCTTTTACCCACTGAGCCATTTCACTGGCCTTTTTCTGCTTGCAAACCTAATTTTGTCAACTGTTCATTATAGATTCCAAAATTACACGTGAAAACTAAATCAAGTTTTACTTTATTCTTTATATTCTGCATTTCAATCAGCGTGGGATGTGGAATCAGATTGGTCCGTACAATGAACTTTTCCTCTATAATCACTTACATACTTTGGTGTTTGCTATCCCAGGAATAAAAGGGTGATACATGAAGTTTTTTTTTTTAATAATGATAATAATCTTCATGTAAACTTTTCTGACTAAAAGAGTAATGTAAAGAGATATAATTAAGAATTAAGAAGGAAGAAGCTGTCTGCATTTGTTCACTTCCATTTGGGAGCTGAAAGCCCTGTATTAACTGAATGGTGATCTGGTTTCTTACCTTTGTAATTTTCTTTCTTTATGAAAGAATCCATCAGTAAATTGAATGTAAAGTTATCTGGAAAAATTCCATACTGAACCTGTATAAAAATGAAAATGGAGAAAGAGAAAAAGCCCTCTAATTCAGTCTGTAAGATATACCTATGTATTATTCAGGATAAAACCTGGCCCCATATGTGGCTATCATTTGCAGCATCTGTGACAGTGCAACTGAAGCTGTGACTCATGAGGTTTGGTAATTGGAACTGTTGGTCAGGGTGAGAAAGTTGTGAGTGGGTGTCTCACAGATGACAACTGACAGGTGAAAATAGGGCTCAGTTCTAACACTTTATCATAGCTAAAAACAGCAGCAGCAACAGCAACAAGATCCCATCCCCTTCCTCCACACATAACTTGGTCCAGTGAATGAAATGCAAAAATAGAGCATAAGAAAAAAGCACGAATATACAGCATATGTTCTGGCCTGGGCTTCTAAATGCCCAAGAAATATGCCAATGCTTTGTTATGAATCAAACTCCTTGGATTCTGTTTACCTGCATATTTACAATGACAGAATTTAGGAGAAATATTTTAGGAATAAAGATGCTTCAGTGTCTGCTTCAGGGTTTGGCAGGAGCATATTAATGATTCAGCTCTCGAAGCTTCAGATCTGGGAAGTTTTAGCAGGCTTCTGTGATTCTCATATACACTTGAGCCTGACTGACTCCCTACTGCCTAGATCCTGGTTACAGTTTCACTCTGAATTCTTACTTCAATAGGATTAACATCCCTGTTCCATAGCATCATCGACCCCCCAAAACACCCAGGAACCTCTCCTGCCCCACCTACTCCCTCAGGAGGTTCCTAAGCCTCAGCTCTGATTCACCCACACTGACTCATGACTGCACACGGGATGCCTCAGGTGTGTTAAAATGAACACCCCAGGAAGGCTGCAGCTCAGGGGCGGGGCCTGTGATTTTCAGAGAACTCACCCACATTCGCATGAATCCAAGGCAGGCTAAAGCCAAAGCATTTTAGAATGGGAATTGATTAGAGCTAAAAAGGACCTTTGAAATTAACTGGTTCAGGCTGAGTGTGGTGCCAAACACCTATTATTTCCTCAGAAGGCTGAGGCAGAACTGAGGTGGGTTCTAGAGCAATTTGGGCTATACAGCAAAATCCAATCTGGGGTACAGGGTACAGTTTGTAGAATAAAGAAAAAGAAGTCAGCCAGCCAGTCCAGGATTCTCAACCATGACGATGGATCAAGTGAAGCTTAAAGTAAAAGTCCCTAAGAAGGATGAAAAGGCAGATCACAGTGAATACTTCTGCTAGACTCATGACATTTCATCCCCACTCACACACCAAGAACACAACATTCTGAGTGCATTAGAGAGAGACCAGCAGACGCCCCATTCCAGGAGCAGGATGCTGGTTTGGGAAGGCTTGTGTGTGCTGGCACAGGTGTGAGAATATCCACGCTCTCCACCTGGTGATTCGTTGAACCCCAAATGACTAGACCCAGAAAGACCAAGTAAATTAGCATATTAGGGGTAAGCACAAGTATTTATAATGTTTATTATTTGTGTGTGTGTGTGTGTGTGTGTGTGTGTGTGTGTGTGCACCCGTGCACACAGGCATGGGCTGCCCTGCTCAGCTTCTTTCATGGGTGCTAGGATTCCAAACTCCAAACATGCTCCTGTGGTACACACACTGACTCAGCTGTCTCTCCAAAAGGAAGCATCTGTCAATCTAAAATCCTTGGGTGACTCCAGTGGGCAGCTCAGGTGGTCAATCACTGATAATACAACTTACTCAAGATGGAGTTAAGAAAACCAGGACCAGTTGGCTGATGTTCCAGGCAACTGATAGAACCTAAGGGTCTACAGGCTGGGTCTTCTGACCCCTCACCCAATGACTTCTTTTTTTAAAGGCCTGGAAGCAACAGAAACAAGATCCTTTGCTCTACTTTTCTTGACCTTTCTGGATCTGTTTCCACAGGGATCTTCATCTCTGAGTATAATTTCTGGAATGAAAAGAACAAGATTTCATCTCTTCCTTCCCCCGGGGCCGTCCTTTCTTTGTCCAGACTAAAGGCTCAAACCTTGACTGTCTGTGTCTGGATCTAGTTCAGTCTCTGACTCGGTCCCCCTTGAAATATACCATCACTGCAGGCAAAAGGCCACACATGCTGCTCCGTGTGCACTTTTAGAGACAGCTTACATGGCACTCCTACCCTCAACTTGTCCCTTCCAGCTGGACTCCCTCTTCTGAATTCCTCTTGTGTGGCACTGAGAATCCTCGAATGTGAGTACCATTGAGAGGGGATATCTGCTTTATTTCCACAGGCAAGGAAGAGATACTGTTCATTTATGTCTTCATTTACTTAATCACTTCATCATCTTACACAAATAACATGTAAACCACATATATGTTGATTTGACTTGAGCCTAAGTTACTGATGAAAATCATTTTTCACAGAGAGGAAGGAGTCAAAGATAAAATCAATATTCCATTTTAACTCTTAATTTCCAAGGTCCTGTAACACTATGAAAATGTGTTTTCATAAAAATATTTTTAAAGAATATTGCTAAATACTTTCTGTAACAGTCTTGGCTGCCTTGGAACTCAGACTTGTAGACCAGGCTGGCTTTGAACTCAAGAGATCTGCCTGCCTCTGCCTCCTGAGTGCTGGGATTAAAGACATGTACCACCACTGCTAGGCTTAAAACGTCATGGTTTATTTTCTATTTAAAGTTACTAGTTTATTTTTATTTTTTGTGCACTGTTGTTTTGCCTACATGTATGTCTACACAAGGGTACAAGTTCCCTGGGTCTGGAGTTACAGACAGTTGTGAGCTGCCATGTAGGTGCTGGGAATTGAACCCGAGTCCTCTGGAAGAACAGTCAGTGCTCTTAATCACTAAGGTATCTCTCCAGCCCTGTTAAAATTCTTTAATGGCTCATAATGGTTTTTAGTTGACTCTGGCAATACTAACACTCTACAACTTGTGTTTACTTTGCATATACTTTCATACCATGAAGTCAATGAAGACTGAAGTGTTGATATCAGCAAAACCTTAATCCTGGGGCTTGTGGGAAGGAAGAGCCATGAAGCTTAGGAGAAAGGACAAATTATTATCCAGGAATACCATATTCTAAAAAAAAAAAAGTATAATATGGTCTGAACAAGCTTGAGATTATACTCCATCAAAAATGGTCACCACGAACCCAATTTATGAAAGGGAAGCAGGCAAGAAATTCAAGGCTTGAGGATGAAAACAAGGGATCAGCAGTGCAGCGTTCTGACTGGACACATTCCACTCTCACCTGTCCTTCCCTGACCACTGTTTGGAAAAGAGGCAGCGATAGGAGCTTTGGGTTTTCAGTTTGTTGGTTAGTGTATAACCAGCTCCAATGTGAAAAACAGCATGATAAGAAATCTGAGGGGACAACTTAAGAGAGTGGCTTCTGTACTTCTCTTTGGTACCATCACAGGTACAAACAGCAGATCACATACACCCAGGAAGCTTGCCAGCAAACCCTTACCTTATTAACAAGGGTGTACAAGGCTTTGTCTTGTGCACCGTATTTCAGGCACTGTCTAATCCAGCTGTGGATGGTCCAGTCTCTCAGGTACCAGCAGTTGGGACTGTGCCGAAATCTAAATAAAACACAAGAAGAGACAATACTGGTGTTATCTCTTATTATTAAAACCCAAACATCTTCCATCAGCAGGTCCTTCTCTTGAAATAGCATTGGGTAGTCAATGTGCTGAAAAGTCATGGGAGTTGACAACTAATAAAAAGTTGACCTTGAAACTCTTAACTACTATTCTAAAATGGAAAGAGAAGTCAAAATAATAAGAAAAATGTGAACCTATTCATTTATTTGTTTTACGGTTTATTTATGGTTTCTATGTAGTCCTGGCTGGCCTAGAACTCACAGACCTGCCTCTACCTCCTAAGTGCTGTGACTCAAGGTGTGTGTTCCCACACTCAGCTTTATTATTTAATTTAATACCCTTGCCTCAACTTCTTGCTTTAATATGAGATTTGTGGAATATTAATCACAATATTATGCAAATTCATAGCTCATCAGAAGGGATGTGTGAAACTGAAGTTGATACTTTGAAAATGAAGTAAAACAGAATAGCACAGAACTCTGAGGGAAATCAGCTTTGAGTGACAGCAGTATTTCTTGTAATTCAGGAACAACTGGGATACTATTGAATCAAGAAAACAAACAAACAAATGAAAAGCTGAATGAGACCTCACATTCAGGTCCTTCAGGAACCACAGCCCTACTGCTTTCTTCATAGCGCCAGTGTAGCCCCTCAGTCCATTCCCTCTTTGTTCCGCACAGCAACCCTCACGGACCTATGTCATACGCAGCCTGAAATGAAGTCACTGGGAGGAATGGCTCCTGGATAGTCCTGGCCCGAGTCCTCACACATGGCTAGTACCTGGACTGCACAGCACTTCCCTCACTGCCCCAAGGCTGCAGAGGAGGTTGAATTATCTGGGAATGTCTAAACTTTTATCTGTTTTCACTAGGACAGAACTTCACACATCCTATTCAGACAACAGAAATCCCCACATTTTCTTTAACTAGGCTACAGTTAACTAAGCAGGCTAGTCTCTGGGCCTTACAAAGGTTAAACTTTTACAAAAAAAAAAAAATATATAGGCTACAGAAGAGACAGAAACGTGGAGGTAAAGATGTTTAAGAGCCATGGGCACTTGCTAATATTGTTTTAGAGGCTATTCTTCAGGGTGCCACCAGCTAGTTCCATCCATGTGACTTTGGGCTTGTTTCCTTTTTCTGGGTGACAAAGGAAAAGCTTTGTAGGAGGGAGAGGATAGTGTTTAATTTGGGTTGTTAGTGCTCTGGGGGAGAGACATGCCAAAAATAAATCTGAAAATGTTTTACAGGCTTGAAGTCATGCTGCTCTCTTCAACAACCTTTTTTGAGATGGGGAGGGTCTTGCCATGTAGCACAGACTGGCTTTGAGCTCATGATCCTTCTGCCTCTGCCTCTTGAGTGTTAAAGTCGTGCACTATCACATTTACATACCCAGTTTGTTTCATCTATCTATCTATCTACCTACCTACCTACCTACCTACCTACCTACCTACCTACCTAAGATTTGGCATGAAAATGTTTCTTATTCTAGTTTTCTTTATAAAATTAGCTCTTTTAAAAATGAGAAACACACACATACACACACACACACACACACACACACACACACACACACACACACACCACTTTACACAATCATTTGCATAGAGATAAAACATACATTTTAGTATGCCACATGTTCTGTCACATTTCCAAATCAACAGTTAAACTACTTGAGACCCTCTCCTTGTTACTCTGAAAAAACCTGAGATTTAAAATGTAGTCAATTAATAGTCACTTTTATTTTTATTTAATTTTAGGCCTACTGAAGATCGAACCAAGGACAGTATATATGCTAGGTGAAGCCTCTGCTACTGAGCTATACCTTAGCCAACTTTTACCTTTATAACAAAACAAAAACCACCAAGTAAAATAGCAGATGTATTTCTCAAGGTAGAAACCCATGAGGTCCCTGGGACCCACTTATTCTATGTGATTCCTTGGTGCCTGACACTTTTTAGCCCATACCGGTTTTCAGAAAATAAAAGCAGAGCTTCAATCAAGACATTCAAATGCTATATAATTACGTACACCATTATACCTATTATTGTACATATAAAGAATGGTGACTCCTTTGCCTGGGGCATTATAGCCTCATTACACACGTCTCTAATAATAATATAAGGAGGGCATAACCCAAAGGGATTGTTATGTGCAGGGTTTGTGGCTTTGGTGGTTTAGTCTATTTCTCATTTTAAAACAGATAAAAAATGACAACCATCTCTTTTAGCCAGGAGCACTTTAAACCTAATCTCCAGCCTTAGAATGTCTTAGATGGCTAGATGTTATAGCTTTTTTGCTGCTGACAGACTTTAAACCACATCGGTGGCTACATTCATGAACACATTCAAGGAAGCACCCTTTTCCTTAGTCATGGTCAGCAAGCAATTCTGAGACTTTGAAGATTGACAGTGGGACCCTAGCTATAGACCTTCATAGCTTAAATTAACATTTATTTCAAGTTGTTTGCCAACAGGAGGTCAGGCCTGTGAGACCTCTGGACTGTGAGGCCTAAGAGTCCATATGCAGCACAAATGCCCAGGACAACTTTTTGTTTGTTTGTTTGTTTTTTGTTTTTTGAGATAGGGTTTCTCTGTGTAGCTTTAGAGCCTGTCCTGGAACTCATTCTGTAGACCTGGCTGGCCCACAAAGATACGTCTGCCTCTGCCTTGTCCAGGACACTTAATTAACTGCCATATTACACCACTTCAGGCATAGTAGTGTAATAAGCATATATTATGAAATATGCTGCCCAAAGTGCAATCCCAGCAAGTGAACCACTTTCTAGGCCCTATCATTATTAAAACTAAAACGACAAAATGTAAGGAAGGGAGGAAGAAGGGAAGGAATAAATTAGTGTACAACTTCTAGAACATGAAGGAGTCAACACACTAGGTCTGAATGGTATGAGAGAAATTCCTCAGCCAATTTCACAAGCAGCTTGGTGGGGATCCTTGCTAGGGGCAGGTCAGGCTCTGGAATGGGAGTCACCTAGATGACCCTATAGACTGCTGCCCAGCACAACAGTCAGGAAGGGCAAAGAAAACACAAGCCAATACACTGATTTCCAAATGGCCTGCAGACAGGCTGACCTTTGCTCTCCTCTGCTCCAGACTGGCCATTACAGACGCCACTATAGGATGCTCTTCTCTACCTGGTGTCATCAGCTGGGGCCACATCTCAACAGATTCTTTACTATAGCCAAAGTAGCAGGCTGCCAAGACTGACAAACTGTATGAGTATAGAAAAGATGAAGAAATGAAACTCAAATAACACCAATAATGTTGTGCTCAACAAGGCAGGAGACAGTTTGTAGCTCAGTTCTGTGGCCATGTATTTCTTAAAGGAAGGAGAAATGAATAAAAGAGGAGATGGAGGAAGTGTGCTGTCATGTTTCCACTTTAGTTCTAAAGCTACTACCTACCTATGGCAGAATAGATTTCCATTCCCAGTGCTAACTGGGGTTTCCAGAGCTTTCTAGAAGCCCAAACCATGTTCGAGCCAATAGCAGGAACTGAGAAACTTACAGTTCCCTCACCAGGCCTCATCTGGACCGCTCAGAACATTGACCTACTTCAGTGCGCACTCCAGGGGGACAACACCAAGAAGGCAGCAGAGTGGAGTCACAGTTTGTCAAACAGACCTGGATCCAAAATCCTGGTGAGTCACCTTAGACTTCTTAGAAGGTAAGAGAAGTCATTTAAAAGAGACTGAGAGTAAAAGGGAAAATACCAGGGCAACTCTATACCTATTTGCGACCAGTTGAGTCATTTCATCAAAAACAATAAGAACACTGGGCTATGGCTGTTCTTCATGGGAGCATGCCACATTATTGCTAAAGGACAGAAGTGGCCACACTCACCAGTACTTAGGATCACAACTACAAGTGTTGCAGGCCTCAAGCACAATGTCAGGGCCCACAGCCACACTGCAGCCCTATCACTTAGCTACAGCACAGGCTCTTTCACGCGAATGAACAAGCTTTCCACATGGTTTCCCTGATTATATAAGCCACCAGCCAAGCCTAACCATACACACAGCTTTCTCTCTTTCCCAGTGGATTCTGTATCCTGTGGCAACAGGCTTTCCAGATGGGAACCTCAGCCACTAAGTGAGGAGGGGCAGTAGAGAAGGCTGCCAAGGAGAGGATGCAGCTGCTCCCATGGCTGTCCTGTGTAGTGTGAGTCAAATCCACGATGCCAAGTTTGCAATTATCAACAGGGTCAAGCGCTTCCTCCCACCAAAAAGCAGGAGAGTATTATGTGACTAACCCAGACTCTGATTCTATTGTTGCTGCCCACTTTCTCATCCTAAAAAGGTAATGAGCAAGATAGTTACTTCTTTTTTTAAATTTTAATTAGAAAGAAAATTATTTTACATGTCAGTCCCAGGTCCCTCTCCCTCCCTCCTTCCCTGCCACCCCACAACTAACACCCTACTTATCCCATACCCTTTCTGCTCCCAAGGGAGGGTGAGGCCTTCCATAGGTGGTCTTCAAAGTCTGTCATATTCTTTGGGATAAGGCCTAGGCCAAGCCCCTTGTGTCTAGGCTCAGGGAGTATCCCTCCATGTGGGATGGGCTCCCAGAGTCCATTTCTATGCTAGGGATAAGTACTGATCCACTATAAGAGGCCCCATAGATTTCCAAGGTCTCCTCACTGATACCCATATTCAGGAGGTCTGGATCAGTCCCATGCTGGTTTCCCAGCTATCAGTCTGGGGACCAAGAGCTCTCCCTTGTTCAGGTCAGCTGTTTCTGTGGGTTTCACCAGCTTGGTATGGACCCCTTTGCTCATCACTCCTCTACTTCTTTTCCATCCTGCAGGAAATTCTGCTTTCAGAATTGTTCATTTCAAAACTTACAATCTTCAACTCTTTCAATTATCACAAATACAAAATAAAAATATCACCATCACAGATTAAAATCTCTTTGCTGCTCGAAATCCCATAGTTTTGTGCTTAAAGAAGTCAGTTAATTTT